TCTCTTGTACTATAGACCTTAAGGTAAAACTCTTGACTTTATGTCAACTGATTTCCTAATTTGTAAATTCTTTCGAATATTTAGTTTATTAAATTATCATGTTGATTTTCTGGGATAGAAGATATAATTTTGATTGCTAATTTTGTTACCTTGATTGGAATATAGAACTTATCATCTGCTTATGGCTAAGACATCTAAATTACATCAAGAATCTTTTGTAAATACTCATTATTAGCTAAAATTGAAATATTAGTATCATTATCTATTATGAAATATTCCAGAAATAGAACGATTCTTTTATAGAAAAAAACTATCTCTTTTGAAGATATAATTGTTTCTGGATCTACTAAAAATTTCAAAAATATTAGATGCACATTTGCATTCCTTACTATATTTTAAAAGGACTTTAAATACTATAAATCTTAAGAATTTGGTTTAAAAAACATTTCAAATTATTCAATGATTCTATTTGAATATCCTTTTAATATATCAAAGGACGTAGCCCTTTTTTAATTTAAATTATCATCTTTCTAACTTTGAATAAATTTTAATGCTCTTTTTGATAATTGTATAGCTTCCTTAGGACTTATCATTTAAACACTGTTTGAATTTCCATTAATAATTGAAAAGTATCTCAATTCTTATTAATTGTCAATGATTTCAACTTAACTGATTTCCTATATTGAATATTAAGGTGCATGAAAACTTTTAATTATTCTCTATAATAATTCCTCATTTAGTTTAGTTCTTTTCCCTGATGTCAATAAGCAAGTAAATAATAATCCACAAATGCTGTTGCCATCAGGTTCTTTGAAAACACTATAAATGGATTTGGATGAAATAGTCTTTGGTTTTTTAACTTACACTTCTTGATTTATCACTTCGTCAAATCCAAACTAATCCAAATCTTTGACACTTGGAGAACTTGGATTTGATTCATTCTATTGGGAAGAACTGAATAGGAACTCTAGAATCTATAGATTTAATTTTAACTGTTCAAAGATTTTCAGAATCGATAAAGCTTCCAAATAGATTTGGGTTTTAATGATATCATCGTTACAATATTAATAAGTCCATATTAATAAATATAGAATCCAATTTCTTTAAAATTACATATATATCTTAGTTGATTGCTCCATTCTTTTGTAATCCTTATCTAGACCTCTGTATTTTGACTACTTTTTCTGATATAGTTATTCAGCAGAAGGTAAGAATGTAGAAACCCATATGTTATCATCAACTGACTCTCTTAATTTATTCAAATTTGAAACAAATGAATGATTTTCTGAAAATCTGTGTATTCTCATATCAGGAATCTATTATAAAATTAAGGCTACAAAGATATTAGGAAGTATTGAGAATATTTTCTAATTTTCATCCAATTGATTATAGCCTAAGTTTATGCTATTCTTGATAATTGTCAATAGTCCTAAGAAATAATGCAATTGCAAATAAGCAAGACGAGAGTAATCGAATTTTGGCTTATTTAGTTGGTTAGATTTTTTGGTTTAAAAGATGTCATAACTTGCCTCTATCAGTAAATGTTCTGGATATTCCTCCTTAGTAAACATTTCTAAATAATACAAACGAATATCATTGATATGAGGTCTAGATAACATTTTAGCAGCATATAGTTTAAGTTACTAATGTTCTGCTTTGGTTTCTTTCTGATGAAGAAAACTCTAATAATCGTCACTACGTTTTAAGGCTTTTGAGGCATTATTCTCATAAAAGTATAGTCCTGAGGGATTCTATATGTTGAATTAATCAATGTCATCACTTAGGTAACATTTAATAGTATTTGTTTAAGTATTGTTATAAAAGGGATCATAATTTTAGGATATCTTGATTAAAGGATCAATGTCTAAAAATAAATTACAGAATAAGTCAATTAAAGTTTTTTCGAATCTAAGTTCAGATTTAACATTCTATTAACGCTTTAGACATATTTCCAAGAACTTTTGATTCAAAAAGCAATTTTTCATTAAACATTTGATATTTTTTTAATTTCTTCCTTTACACAATGAAGAATATAAACCCATTACATTCATTAAATAATTTTCATATTTCTAGAATATTGGAACCACTAATTTAGCATCTTCCTATTTTACTAATTAATTTTCTTTTAGTGTTTCAATTGTAAAGAAATCAATCACCACATCAATTAAACTGGGACTATGACTTAAAAATCTCTTAGCAATTCTTACCTATTTATCAATAAACTTTAAGTAAAGTTAGCAAAACATCTAATTATTTTAACCAAACTAATTGACATATTGCATATACATTCCTTTATCCCTTTTTGGATAAAATTAAACTATTGGATACAAATTGTTGTTATCTTCTTATATGTCTAAGGATACTAAGACATTATGAAACGGAGATTATTATTCTTATTAATTTTTTGTCCCAAATAATAATCTTCTGCAAGCATTCTAACATAATATATTTGGGTTCTCATAAGGATCTATCATTATCAAACTCAAGATTTCTATATAGAGAGTTTAATCTTCAATATTATCTTCAGATATATTTTCCAATTGATTCACCCACTTTTTAATATTTTCTTTAGATTCACTCATATCAGTATATCTTACGCTTTCCTTAATGAGATTTGAGATATGTTTTCGTTAATGTTTTAATTATTGCAAAAGGAAATCTAAAATACTTTCCTTATTCATTTTTAATGTCAAAACATAATTACTTGTATCCTGATTTTTTTAAACACATAAGCTCAGAACATCATATATTTCTTAGATACAATTCAATTTTTAAGATGACGAAACAATAGGGTCAAGTTTTGATTTTGCAATCTTCTAAGGAGTCTTGTCCAAGACTTACGAATTGTTATTAATCAAACTCCCGTAGATCATAAAATTGCATAGTCGTTAAATAGCAAAGAGCAAATTAATAATATCATTATCCATTAAAGTTTTTTATTTGAATTACTGTTATTCGTTTATTTGAGCTTGTCCTTCATTAGTTAAATACAACTTTAGGTTTTCCAAAGTTTAAAATAATTATTAAATTTCATCATACAATCTCTTTTGATTGTTAAAAGCCTCATAATAATCATAAGTTCTAATATCTTCCAACCCTTAGGTTGATGTCTTAACTATACCCCAATCCTGTAGAAATATATAGAATTAGATTAAGTATTCTTATAAAGAATTAATTCTAAAGGCAGTCTTAGCTTACTCTTGAGTTGCTAGCTTTAGTAAAAAAGTGGCTCTTTCCATATTTTACTTTTAACTCTTCCTTTAAACTGTCACTCTATCATCTAAACAAACGATGACCGAATTTTCTTAAGTAACATAACTATCAATAGAAATATTCATAAAAGATTATAATTTGTAAGCTTCGCTGAACAAGATTTGATCGTCTGAGTTCTTTTTAGATCTTAAATGAAATTGACATTCTTATCTTAATCCATCATAAGTTAAACTTGCATTGTGATTAGCAATTTCCAGGAATAATCCTGTACAAACATGTCTGATTAAGAAAACACTTTCGTAATTTGGTCTTGAGAACATCAGACTATTGACGTGTTGAATTTACCATAAATTATTTAAGTTATTTTCTGCATTTTCTGATGTATCCACACATAGCTTATACATATAATTAATTTTTTCATTTTTCACTTATTCTACATTAAAATAGAATTAATCTTTTGAATAGCTGATATTTGTATCGTAATTATTGATAAAGACCTCTGTTTAATCAAGTCCTTCAGTAATTCTAACTTATCTTTGAATCGAGAGATATCCACCCAAATATCTATTTTTGATTGTGACTACATCTCCACTAAGAAGGGCTTTTTATTTCAAAGATTGCTCCTTCAATTCTTATTCCGTTTTAGAATCAATGTAGTTTGCAATTTTCAAAGGAAATCCTATTTAAGAACAATTAACTTCTAACCCATCCTTCTTATCGTATTTTTGACTTGGCTTCTGTATATTCATAAACCATTTATTCTAACTTGAATTTTGAATTATTATTTGATCTCCGTATAAGATAGGTTCTCCTGGGTTTTTAACCTGATTCATTGATAAAATTCTAAAATTTGAATTTACATTTGGAATTTCTTCTAACGATAATTCTCTGCAACAATTTTCCTTAGCTAAGTTTGCACTATTAAATGATAGAATGCAAGAAGAATAGATGTGCTTAAGTTGGATTTCTTAACCATAGACAATATTGGATCCGTAGGCAAGATCATAAAAACGCTTGTTTTCTATAATTTCTTCTTTAGCCTTATCTTCAAGTTCTTTTAACCTTCTTTCATATTCTGATTAGCAAAGTTCTAAATTAATTGCTTCATTTATCGCCTATTCTCTAATATCATCTATTGATTTCGAACGCTCTTGTTCTAGAAAGTTTTAATAATGATATTTTTTGCCTGTGATAACTTAAAATAGACTCTTTTAAAATGATAAACTGCCCACCTTTTATTGTAAACATTTTTTTGATTGACTAATAATTTGCTGATTTTTTCCCAATATCTATATACATTCCAATTTATTGCTTGCGATGCCATCACCTGAAATAACACCTTTATAGTCGTCGATCAAATAAGACTTGAAATACACTATGTCTCCTACTTTCAAATTGAAGTTTCGCCTTTAATAAAAACAACAATTACTTTGGAGGTTTTGCGGTTTCCTGATTTTGAGTTTAGGGATTGTAAATATGTTATTACGATACAAGATTATCAGCTCCTAATTATGATTGTCTTTTTTAAACTGGAATAGGAGGAAGTTCCATCAATTTGTGTTAATATATATATTATAAATAATAATTTTAGATATGTGGTGTTAAAACCTTTTATTTTATTGGGTCAGATTATTATTTCCCCGTTTTTTATATCTTCATACAATAAATTCACAGCCATTTCACTTGTCAATAAAAATCGGTTAATTTAATAATACTATCATTATTAGAAAAAATAATAAATATATAATTTAACTATTTCAAGTTTATAGCTTAATTTAAATATTTCATCAAATCTTCTCTAAGAATCTTATTTTTTCTTAAACACTTTTTAAAAATAAATCGTCTGCCTCTTCCTTCAGTTTCTCATCATTCAAATAATACGCTTGATGTTCTTTTCGTTAAGCCTCTTTTTCATACCGTTTGCCTCTCTCCATAATTGATCGGTAATCCTATTGCAATCTTGGAACACTATTGCTTTTTAATTAACCTAGCCTTCCTTACTAATTCATTCTCTCTTATTCTAATTCTTTCAAATAGTTTATTGGCTTCTTCTTTTATAGATCTTCCAATTAGGCTTCACTCTTCATTGGTTTTGGTTGGTAATAAACTGATGGATTTGGTACAAACCCTTTTTACAATGATTCTGTCACTTTTGTTTTTTGTACCTTCTAAAGATTCAAAACATTCTAAATTTTATGTACATTCCTTTCTACTATTATTTACAAAAATACCTGATCCTTATTATGCCTATCTGTGCAATTTATTACGAATTGAGTCTACTTTTGTTGCACTCTATTTTCCTTCTCCTTCTTTCAAAAAACTAATTAAAATCTTAAATTTTTATACTCAATATATTCTTCTTGTAATGAATTGTCAGATTTGTTATGCTAAGCTCTACTAAATTGAATGTCTGTTTAAACCTTAATGTTTGGCTTATGATATTCTTTAACTATCTCTGCGTATTTTTATTTTCTTAATAGTTTTTCAGCTTTTTATTATTTTTCCACCACATCTTTGTTTTTGAATTTGGAATCCACATCAATGACTTTTTATAAAATATCTTTGGCCTTATAGATTTACTTTGTTTCTTGTTATATTACAATCTCCCTTTCTAATTTCTTCTAATCCTTCTCTAACTTTAATAGCTATTTCTTATTTAGATAATCCTCCTCATGTTTATTAATTTCTTCTAATCGGATAGGAACAGCTAGTTTTTTTCTTTGTTGTAATTTCATCTTAAATAATAAACAATTGAATTACCTTGGCATCTTCATAATATTACTTTTTTAAGATTTCCTCTCTGTCCTCTTATTGTTTCCTTTTCTCTCTTTCTTTGTTTTTCAACTCATTAATAATCTATTTCTGGTGTTAGTTTCTTTGTAATTATAATTCTTGATGTTTCTGCATTTATGATAATCTTTCCATTATTTTCTATCGCTTCTCTTAATTGAGATACTCCTTCTCTTATTCTCTTTCCATTTTATATTTCTCAATGCTTTCCTCAAGTTGATCAGATTCGTTATGCAATTATTTATTCTTCCTTTCTTCTAATTCTCTTCTTTGTCTTTTTAATTCAGCAACCAACTATTTAGCTTTTGCTGATTGTATTGGATCATTCAGATTTTCGATGGCCTTCTTCTTCCTTTCCAAGTATTTCCTAGCCTCTGGACTTAATGACTTAGGTTTAGCTTAAGATTCGTTATGCTTGTGATAAAAATTCTGGTTATTCGGCTTTTCAAGATGATCCAATAATCCTAACACAGTGTCATTATTATTTTTAATGGGATCCTCCTCTTGATTTATTAGACTGGGATCTTAACTTGTAGTTAAATGTTTCCCTTTTTCATTCTATTAAACTTTTTCAGCAAAAGTTTACGATTTTTACCTTGATGTCTATACTATTTTATTGGTGGCGACTTACAAGAATGTCAATAACTTTCTAATATTTCTTTTTTCTATCGTTTTTGGCAATTCTTATATTGAAGTGCTTCTCTTCAAAGCAATTTTAAATCCATTCATGCCAGATTCTGTCTTTTCCGACATTTTTATCAAAAACTAGGATACAAATGTTTTTAATTTTTTGATTCCTTCTCTCTTCCTTGCCTTCAAGGTTAAACTATCAATTTAATGATTACAGATGATTTTATCTACTGATCCTTCCTCTTTGAGTAATTAATCAAATAAATGTAACTCTAGTTCCTAATTATTCCAATCCTTATCCGAATTCTACTCCCTTATGATTTGGATAAATTCCTTAACACTTGAAGTTTTAGAAATTTGATATTCCCCTTCTGATTAATCTGGTAATATGACTTTAAAAGTTATCATATATCAATAATAAGTTTATAATTAATTTATTATCAAATGAGATGGTAATCCCCTTATTAGTAAATTCTTTAGAGATGAAGTCTGAATATATCGTGTGATTATAATCAATCAGAATATATTGATAATCATAATGAATTCATTGTAATAGATATTTTGCAGTATCTGTAAAATTCTACTTATACTTATATCTTGAAAAATCAAAGCAATCACTCCTTATTTTAGTATTGTCATCAGGTATAATCTCAGGTAATCTTGATATTTATTAGCTTAGTTTACTTATGCTCATCCTTATCTCTAGCTGCTTCAAGTCTCACTGCTTCAATCATGAATTCTTTTGCCTCAGCCTTCTTTCCAGCATTTAATCTTCTATTGAATTCCTTGTATTTCTCGTCTATTTTCTTTTAGAGTAGATCCTCAGGTGCCCTTTCAAAATCTACATGATTCAACTGAAAGCAAAAGGAGTCCCAAGGCAATGGATCTTCTGACATAATTTCCTTAAACTTTTCAAAAGTCACAGCAGGAACCTTACCAATATTTGCTATGTCATTCATTAAATCTCCATACAATCCTTGCAATTTATCCTATGTAATGGATCCCTTCTTTTCTAGTTTAAATTTAAGTTTATTACCCTTATCATATGATTTGAATATCTTCTTAAGCTTCCCTTTCTCCCACTCATTTACTAAACTCATAGGATTGTCATGAAGTCGCTGTCTTAATTACTCTTTCAATTCATTCGTAGGAAATTTGTTAGGATCAAAAGTTTTCTCCTTTTGTTTAATCCGAGTTCTCTCCATTTGAATCTCATCAGCCTTTTATTATTCTCGCTTTGCTTTAATTTCATCTACTTCCTTATAGAGTAATTTCTCCCCAGCAGAGAAGATTTAAGATGGAAGTAATTTTTGCTTCTTCTACCCTTTCTTTTTAATTTTAACTTCTGCTTTGAAATCCTTGTACCAAGCTTCAACTTTAATTTTTTCTTGGACAGTTATTATTGATCGATCCAGTAATTGTAATTGAGGAAGAGCTGAAATCACTCTGTTTCTATAATAGGGCTCCTCTGCCACTGGATTATTAAATAGATCTAAGACAATATAACTAAATTAAAAAACCCAAAGTGGTAAGCCCAGGAAACTCCTTTAAAATCAACAGATTTTTCTCTAAGTCTCTTAATTCATTGTTGAACAAACTCAATGTTTCTAAATGCCTCAAATTTTATAGTCCCTCAAGAGTGCTAATTTTGTTCTTTTGCAAATATAGATGTTTAATTCTGAAATTTTACTCAATCCCTTTTATGCTGGTTAACTACAAATAAATAAGGGAGAATCTGTACTTGGTTTTCATTAAGCCACACAACTTCCAGATTCATGAACTTATCAAATTGTGCCAATTCATTAAATCCTTGATTAGCCATATGAACTTCTGTTGTATCTCTTGCTTGTTTATCATTTTTGATAGGAATGCATTGCCAAGGTGTTCCAACTTTAACAATAGGTTAAGGAGTTGCTCTTTTTATTAAATGATTAAAAACCTAATCCATTAATTATTAATATGTTAAATAAGTGTAAGTATTTGTTTATTTGTGGTGCAATTGCATCTGGAATCGGAAAGGGAACCATAAATAGCAGCATAGGAATGCTATTGAAATAATATGGTTATAAGGTGTCATTCTTGAAAATTGATCCATATTTAGTATGATATATTAAAAAAGTAGAATATAGATGCAGGTACAATGAATCCATATGAGCATGGTGAAGTATTTGTTACAGGAGACGGGTAAGCAATTAATTGAATACTTTAGAGGAGAAGTTGATTTGGACATTGGAAATTATGAAAGATTCTTAGATATTGAGTTATCATTCTACCATAGTTTAACTAGTGGGAAATTATATTAAAAAATATTACAGTAATAAATATTAGTTATAGAGATAGAAAGGAGAGGGAAGGACATTATTTAGGAAAAACAGTTTAGGTTATTCCTCATGTAGTCGATGAAATTAAAAATTGGATTCGAAATTTAACAACTGTACCACTGAAACATGATACTGTTGAAAAGCCAGATATATTGCTGGTTGAAGTAGGAGGAACTGTGGGTGACTTGGAATCCACTTGTTATTATGAGGCTGTGAGATAAATGATAAATGAGGAGGGAAAGGATAACGTTGGTTTGGTAAGATATTAATATATTCTAGATTATGCTTACTTATATTTTAACATTGAATAATGAGTAAAAAACAAAACCTGCTTAAAATGGAATCAAGGATCTTAGATATACAGGATTGATAGCTGATTTTATAATATGCAGATCCGAAACTGAATTGTAAATACAACAAAGAGATAAGTTGGCTATGTTTGGTAACATATCTAAGGATTCAATATTTTCTGTTCCAAATTCCCAACACATTTATGATGTTCCAGAAGTATTACAAAAATAAAGGCTGGCTGAACATATATTAGATAAGTTCAAGCTGCCACTTTAAAAGGTTCCTAACATTTAACAATACACAAAATTTGGATAATATTTGAGAGAATTAGAGTAATAAAAGCCTGTTACTATAGGAGTTATGGGGAAATATATGAAAAATTTGGTAATTAATCTTAGTAATATATCTAGGATGCATATATGTCCTTGATAAAAGCATTGAAAGAGGCAAGTTATGCTATTAAAGTGAATTTACAATTAAAATATATCGATCTTGTTGAATTCCAAAATAGTCCTAATCCAGAAGAATAACTAGAAAAAGAATGTGATCAATTTGATGCTATCCTGGTGCCTGGTGGATTTGGATTTAATGGTTTTAATCTCAAGATCAAGTGCTGTCAATATGCTCGTGAAAAGAAGAAGCCATTTTTGGGAATCTGCTATGGATTCTAAGCAGCTGTTATTGAATATGCTCAAAATATCTTAGGAGTTAAAGATGCTACCTCTGAGGAATTGAAGGAAGAATAGGTTGGAACAAACTTTGTTGTATTTATGCCAGAAATCAATCCTAAGTTATTTGGAGGCAACATGAGATTGGGAAATCATGAAACATTCATTGAGTAAGATAATTAATTTATTTGAGAAACAAGGAGAGCATTGCATATCAAATATATGGGTCTGAGGTTGTAGAGGAAAGACACAGACATCGATACGAAGTCAATCCTGAGAAGATTCAAACATTAAATGAAAAAGGTCTGATTTTCTCTGGAAAAGATAAGAAGACTGGCTCAAGAATGGAAGTATAATTACATTAATCAACTCAAGATTCTGGAATTGCCTAAAAATTAACATCCTTTTTATGTTGGAGTACAATACCATCCAGAATTTACTTCTAAAAACTTCAAGCCCAATCCATTATTTGTTAGTTTTGTTTCTGCTGCTGCAAATGGAGAGTATCGTAAATCAAAGATAGATACCAACTACAATAATTAAATTTGAGTCAATAGATGGTTATTATTTATAGATATCAATTATATTAAGTATTTCAGCAATATCATCAAGTACACTCGATTTTTATTGATTTTATTACCTTTAATGTAGGGATCACTATTTATTTGAGTTCTCCAAGTTTCTCATCTATCAGTTCTATCTAATAGACATTATTCATATCATCATAAATTCAGTTCCATCAATCTACTGGAATTCCAAAACGTCCTTTATTCTTATTTGAGATTCCTAAATTTAACATTAAAATAAAAATGAAAAATAGTAATCAAACCAAGCTATTGAAATAAACCTTATTATCATCAGAGGCATCATTAGTTAGGACTTAAATTTCAGTCCAATCCTATTTAAAGTCATCTCCAGTATTTGATTTAAATTATTGATTAGAATTCACTTAATCGTTTTCTTCGTTCCTCTTTCAAAGTATATTCAGAAATGAAAGAAGACATTATATAGAATCAATAATGTAAATTATCCTTAAGATATGAATAAATTTATTTATTAATGGCATCTTAGAAATTGTTCATGTATCTCCAAAAAATGTAAGAATACTATAAAAAATTGCAAAAATAAGAAGCATTTTATATCATTTTAAGATTAGCTGCAATAGATTATAGCAATTGTAGTAGTTTTTTCAAATCTTCACAAGGATGCAATTCCCCTGGAATAGTTTCAAAAGATATTGGGTAATTCTATATTTTATTAAAGAATGGAAAAAAAAATTCAAAATTAACAATTAATTAAAATTATTTAGGAGCTTTAATTGCAAATAGCTGGTTAAGAAATTAGCAAGGCTCTCTATTTATTTTAAACCAAAATCCTAAAGGAAACATTTCACTAATTAAAATGGATTATTAAAGTATCACAACACTTGGAAAAAATAAAATTGATTATTGAAACCTCCAATTAAAGGAATGCTTTGAATCAATTAAAATAGAAGACAACATAAGCAAGAAAATTTGAGGCAGGATTGCTATTGCTTAATTTGAAAATTAAAAAAATTATATTAAGCAACCAATTTTATTTTTTTTATTCTTTTAAGGTTTAATCAATTCAGCATTACGCTAAAAAAACACAAAAACCAAAAAAGAAGCAAATAGAAGTTTCTTTTAAACCATAAGATGAATCTTTGAAATTATTGAAACTGTACTAGTTTTTTATTAGATACTGTTATCGATATCCCTTTGATTAACTTAGAAAGTAACAATATTTAAGTTAGTAATTTGATGTACCATTTAGAAGCAGTAACATTTTATAAAGATTATCAAATAATCAAATTTCTTAAGTTATACCATAATAATAATCCTAAATTTTTGAGTCTATCCACGTTGCAGAAAATTAATAGTAAGAATAATAAGAAATCTCATAAAGTTAATTTCAAAAACCAAAGGTAGAAATCAAATAAACTGGAAAAATTGCTAGATCCATAAAACTATATTGTATATTAAATATATATGGTAGTGAACGAATACGAGAAGTAATAGTTATAAATCCAATAATCAAGAATTAAATCAAAACTTTACAAAAAGCCCAAAGAAGCTGAAGAAATCTAAGTGAACAACCAAAAAAGACAACTCAACAATAAAAAATAGATTATTTGCTTGATTTTCTCAATAATAATTTTTTGTATTGCTTTAGTCTTTTTATTTTAATGAAGTATATTATATAACAATAAAGTATATAAATTTATTAAATCAAAATCCTAATTGAAAATGTCATAATTATTAAATCTTGATAGGATAACCATTTAATAATCATATTTAAATTGTTATTTTTTTCAAGAACTGATTAAAGTAAAAAATAAAACCATACCATCTCTAGATTTGTTTTCATTACAATTTATAAATGAATACAAGATATTTTATAATAAATTTTATTTGAGATACTTGCAAAAATATGATGATACTTGAGTTTTAGGTGTTTTATTTTCTATCAGATTTCTAATCTTATCAACCGGAATTTCCTGCTTTTTAAATTTAAATTGATGACTTTAAAAATTACCAATAGATAATTATTTGATATAATTGACAATTTTTTCCTTAGTTTTTCAGAATTTCTATTATCATATTACCAAGTTTAATTCTGTTTCCTCAGACTTTAGTCTACCTCATGTGTTCACCAATTAACTTAATTTATAGTATATAAAACACTTAAACTCTGAAGATATTCATTCTATTTAATAAAATCTTTATTACTTTGTAGACATAATTAGAAAATAAAATTGATAATTCTTCTAACCTTGAGATTAATTAATTTTCTTATAACATCAGCCTCTCTAAATTCCAATGGTACTTCTAAAATTTAATAAATATTTGTTTGTTGTATTATAATTTTGGTATCTTTCACAATTTAGATATATCAAATAATAACATAAAATACAAGCCCTAATGAAATAATTTTGGTAAAAAACTTTAAGTTAATTATAATAGTAAGATCATAACTGTAGAAGCATTTGTATTTCAAGAAAAAGCTATTCATAATTATTAAAATATTTAGTTGTGAATTTATTTATTATTATTCTTCTAAATTATGAATCTAGCCATTTTACATCCTAAATGAATGCTTGAATAAGCATTGAGTTTCTCTATTGTTATCTATGGATGTGAATGTATAATGTATATATAAGAGGAGGAATGAAAAACATTAAAATATTGAGTATAAAAATTATATTAAAAAAAGTATCCTTTATTTAAATTATATGTCTTCTTCTAGTTCATCGAGGTCACGGTCACCTAGGAAGAATAAGAAAAGAGTATATGTGACAGGCTATTCTCTTAAAGAGGATCAACATGATATTAAAAAGTTATTCAAAAAATTTGGGAAAATTGAAGAATTTGCTTGGAAAGGAAAATATTGTTTCATTGTAGATATCATGAATTAAATTGTAGGAATTTAAGGATCCTGAAGATGCAGAGAAAGCTGTTAAAAAAATGAATAAGGAAGAAGTAAAAGGATCGGTGTTATAAGTTGAGATGGCTCGTGGAAATAAGCCGAGCAAAAATAATGGGCTTTGTTATTCTTGCGGTCACTCAGGACATTTGTAAGTTTTATATCGTCTTAACAATATATTATAGAATACGATATATTTTATATCTATTCATTTACCTATTTTCATAGTGCTAAGAATTGCAGACATAGATCTTCATCTTCTAGTTCATCTAGCTCTAGCAGGTAAAGAATAGATAACAATAAATTATAGTGAGTCTAGAAAAAAACATAAAAAGAAACATAAAAAAAAGAAGAGTTCATCCAGTTCAGATTCCTCATCAAGTAGTTCATCGAGGGATAAGAAAAAGAAAGTGAATAAGAAGCGAAAGAGTTCTAAACAGAAATCAAAGTCCTCATCAAGAGGCTCTTCAAAAGACTCACACAATTCAGAGTCTTCCGGCTCGTACTTTTAAAGATGAATTCTGTTTAGCGTTGAAGGAGAAAAATAAGAAAGTAACAATATTAAAGATGACAAAAAACCTTAAGTTGAAGAGAATCAAATGAAGGGAGCTGATGGTAAGTAATGAAGTACCAATGATAATAAAATATAAATTAGTGACCAATACATTTAGTATTTAAAATATTTTGTACTCTATTCTCATTTTTATTAAAACTCCTTAAATTTTTATTTTCATAATATTTTTAGTAATTAATAAAACTATTCAATTAAATATTCTTAACCATTAAAAGCTATAAATGTAATTTATTAATATTTTATTAAACATGGAGAGATTAGAAAAGTTAAGAATATTTCTAATAGCTTAAAATAATTAATTTTTAGTTAATTGATAATATTTCATTAGTAAAAAAAACAAAAAATTGCAGTAATAGAATTGAATTTAATTAATTTTAGATTTATTTTGAGAATAAAAGTAATGTGACTAAATTATAGATTTAATAAAAACCATATGCTTTGTATGACTTAAGAATTAGAAATTCTAATTATATTTTGATTATAAATAATGAATGTAAAATTTAATAAAGTATGAGTAAACTATTTACAATTAACAATCACGATTTCGTAATTAAATCATCTTATTTGACTGATTCCTTTATGGGGGAGTGAATTCATTTTCAATATAGAGGTTGGATTTTACATTTGATTGTCAAATTAATCAAAATCTAATTTTTTCGACACGCTTGAGATTTCCTCATTTGTAAAAGTTCTCTAAAATTTACTATTATATAGTGTGCTCGTCAGGTATAATTCTTTATTTAATGATTTGACTTTGCGAGGTGTAAAGGACATTAACTGCTCAATAAATTTATTAATAAAAAAAAATAATAATGTGATTTTATTGATTAATTTTAGAACTGACTAATTCTGTATTTAAATAAAAATAAAATAATATAATTTAAAGTATTATTACATTAAACAAAGATTGAATATGTGTACATTAACAATCTTGTTAAATCATTTCTCATCTAATAATATAAATAAAATTAAGATATAAAATCAAATTCAAGGTTCTTTAATATTTTTATTACATTAACTATGGAAGCAATTTCAATAATCTTAAAAGTCTAAGATGTAGGAATACATTCCATTTTATCAAAATTTCTCATGTTCCTTGAAGAAAATGGAAATAAGATAAAACATTGAAGACATGATTCTATGTTTTTGTAAACTCTAAAATCAATTAATCAAAAATTAAGAACCTTTAATTAAAACATAGATTAATAAGAAATTAACTATATTATTATCATTCTAACTATCTTTATTGATGTATTATTATTAATACATGTATCAAAACTAGATGTTTATCCAATATTATTCTTACTGGTTAAATCGAGCTTATAAGTAGGATATTAGAAGTCTATTGACATAAAAATAACATTAACTATTAATCGATGTATTTTTGTAATTCACTAGAATTCTCAAAGTAAATATTTAATATTCTAGAAATAACACAGTTGTTGAAATCATGTGAAATACTTGTCAACATTTCATCTTTATATTTATCTCTCATCTTAAATTCATTAGATCAACTTCTAATCTTATAACTATTCCTAAATAATATGAAAATGAGAATTGTATGAATTTATATTCCAAACTATAACTGTATCGAATAGAAAATAGTTTAAAAATACTATAAAATTCAATACAATTTTATTTCATACTTAAAATGAAAACAACTTCAAAATTATAAAGTAGCATCGTAGATATAAGCATAATCAATTTGAACTATAAAGATTGGAATTAGGATGCAGGATTAAAAAAATAAAAATTTATTGAATTTTAGATTTCCATCAAGTAATTATTGATGAAAACATTGAATTTATTAATAATTTTACAGTTTATCTCGATCACTTAAACACTTATAGATAGCAGGTAACGGTAATGAAAATGTTGCTAAAAATTAATTAAAATCCAAAATATAAGTATTAGAATCAAAAATAATATTTATATAGTATTGTTTTGAGTCGACTATTTTCTATTGGTTTTGGGAGAATGTCCTTCATTCCACACTTATAAGCAGTATCGATATTCTCTTTGCTATCAAATGCGCTACACATAATGATGACTGTGCTAGTATTTTGTTATTCTAAAAATTATTAAATTTCCTTTGTGGCTTAATATCCATCAATCCCAGGCATATCAATATCCATGAAAATTAATTTGTAAGTGCAATTACAAGTTTAGTATCGAGTTTTAATCATATCAATAGCCATTGATCCATCATATGCACTGTCGCATTTGATATTGAAATATTTCAAAACTGTTTTAAAGGCTAAATGGTTAAAAGGAATATCATCCACAATTAACACTTTTAAACAATTGCATTATCTTTTGAGATTGCTCTTGTATGGTTCCTATATGCCTTCATCAGTTGGTATAGTTAAGGCTTCATCATTCGATTACTAATCTTTCACAATGAATCTGTTATTTGTGTATTGATTCAATTAACTTGTAATGAATAATTCACCATTATCACATAAATTTCTAGCTATTTAGCTTGATACTTTTAAGCCTAAGCCGACATATTGAATATAGTCTTCTTCCCCCCTTCTTGCCAGATCCACTTCAGTGTTTTATAGAATTTTATTGATTAACAATAGTTTCTCAGTAGAAATCCCACATCCTGTATCATAGACTTCGAATTGATACAATGATCCCACTTTTTAAATATTCAACTTAATGACCCCTTATTTTCTAGTAAATTTTACTGAGTTGTTCAAAAGATTTACTAATATTTGGAGGATTCTGTCGAAATCACTTCTGATAAAAGCATCATTACAAGCTGAAATTATAAAGTCAATTTTCTTCTATTGGCATTCTGGTTTAAAATAATCTTCAATTGTTTGTATTAAATGAGATAATTTAAAAATGTATGGCCTCAATTTAAATGTTTAAACTTCAAAATTTGCAAAATCCAATATATCATTTATTTGATGTAACAATTTTTTATTAGAGATTATCGCTGGTTTTAAATATGTATCGTTCAAATCTGATTTAATTTCTTGTTTTAATGTTTGTAATAATGAGAGAGAACAATTTAAAGGAGTTCTTAATTCATGAGAGAAGGAATTAATGAGCATTTATTAAAAATGATATCTGTCTTTCATGTCTATTTATTTCTCTTTTTTGGTAATATTTTTAAGAAGGATCAAATATCCTTTGGATGTCTCGTATATCTTGATCTCATAAGCTTTTTAATTAGTTTAATCTCGATATTTAAGGGAATTCAAATTTTTAATAATTCCTGAACTTTTAAATTTATTGACAATTTAAGCAAAATCAATAAAATTGCTCTACTACTTATGCAAAGTTAGAGATATAGCTTTTTTTCGAGTCTAACTAAATGATTTCATTCTTCTTAGTTAAAAGTCTGATCCTTATTCTTCGAAAGAAGTGATTATGGATCTTCTTTCGCATCTTAATGCAGTAGGATTCTATTGCTATTCTATCCATGCTCTAATTTTCATAATATATATACTTACTTATGAATCATTATTAGTAGTTGTTGCTATAAATTATCTTCTTTGATAAGAGAACAATACTTTTTAGCCTTGTTATTAGAATTAACAATATTATGATTGTTATCTAATAAACAAATTCCAATAGGGATATAGTTAAAGAAATCAATCACATCATTCGAATCATTTTGAGAAGGAATTTCATACTGAGTTAATTTCCTTTGAGAATGGCAATTTAATTTACTGTCAGTTTGTTTTATATCCTAAAAATAAAAAAGTTAATACATGCAAATAAAAGTACACATTGAAGCTAACAAAAATGATTCCTGTGTAAACCCAATCGATAATCTTGAAAGTGTGAAAATATATTAAACTTGCTCTCAATATATAAAAAGACAATAGAACAATTTTATATTTAAGGTTGTAATTAATTGAGGCGATAATTAAAGGTCCGAAAGGTTAGTCATTAAAGCTCAATTCTAGAAGTAAAATGATCCTTATATATTTCCAAATAGGAGTTTATTTCCTATTCATTAACATATCGATTAAAATCGCTAATAAATTCACTGATGATATGACTATCAAATAAATATCATTTGAAAAACTTGCTGCAAGGAGAAGTTTAAGAGCAAATGTAAAATGTATTCCTCTTCTTCTTTTATAAAAAATCATATTATTTAATAATTCATTACTCTACTCAAATTCATTCGGGGTATAACTAATTAATTATAATTCACTCTTTCGAATTTTCCAAAATTATTCAAAGTGAAATTAACAGCAAGAAAATAAGCCTATATTTAACTTAAAATTATCTTTTAACAAGGGAAATGTACATTTGTGGATTATTTAATAATATTAATAAATCTTTGAAAACAAAAAATCATCCATTTTTGTACATATTGAGGGACATATTGTTATTTCCATAAAATATTCCTTCTTACTCAAATTATATATAATTAATTTTAATTTGAATAAATATTCAAATCTGATCATTAATATCAATCATTTAATTTTTCTTATATTTATAAATTGCAAATTATTAATAATATTCATATTATAAATATTAGATATAATAAATTATTCTTTATATAATTCGAGATATAATTTGTTTACTGTATTATATTGAAATTTCATCATGCCATTTGTAAATTTGCGTATTGTTTTTTTTTATTTTCTTATTTTTTTAATTGCTCTTCCATTTTTTACATAATAACTCTCCATTTTGAACACATTCTGTATCCGCAAATCAATAACAGAATAAAAATTGCAAAAACAACAATCAGGAAAACCTCTGCATACCATTATGATTATGAATCTAGCAATACTTCATTTACTACTAAATTAATAAAATGTTCCTCATGACACACTATGAACGGATCTATTTCAGCCTTCTCGCATTAAGTTGAATTAATTAAAATTGCATAAGATTACTCAATTTATTTAATAGACGAACAAACTATCTCTGGATTTTTATCCTTAATAATCAATCCATATAAATAATGAGGAGTCAATGCTAATGAATAATGATATTAAGTATCTGCTTTTTCATAATCTGTACCTTCAATTTCTTCAATTTTCTACAATAAGGGTATCATGAAGTCGGTATCATAATCAAAATTTTCATCAACAAATCCTCGATAAACATTGGTCTAAATTACTTTGTGTACATCATAACCAATTAAGAATTAAAAGTTTCCACAATTTTGAACTTCTTTTAATTGCATATCTTCTAAATAAAATTTATTGTAATAAAAGTCCTGATTTTTAAAATTAAACAAAATTTCTATTCCAAAAATAATCTTATCCTAAGATTACCCTGTTTAAGCTATTACTAAAAACGAGTTCTTGTTATACACAAAAGATATCGGGTTTTCCAAAGGAATCTTAAATTCTACATAATTTATATATTATCATTACCATTATCAGTGTATTCATTTTCATTTAAAGTGAAAAAGTGTATTCCAATTTTATCATCTAACAAAAAGAGTTAATCATTTTTAGTTTAGACTTTAATGATGTTTAGATTTCCTGTTATTGTGTATGCATGGTTTAAGTTCTTTTCTTATATTTTGTATACCAATACTCCTTATTTTCCTGCTACTATGAATAATCTTTAATATTTTTCATCATAATGGACATAATTTATATTACTCACTTCCTCTAATTTGTGAAATTAAATTGGAGGCAAATTTCCATTTTACCATCCCTAATACTAAAAACTAATTGCTCCTTTTTCTGTCACTACAAAAATTTAATCATTTGCAACTACAAAGTGGGATTTCTTCTTTTAATCAATAGCTATTTATTCTGAGTAATCCAAATGCTAGGATTAAACACTCATTTTCTTAAATTAATAGAAAAATTAGATATACCTTTAATTCATATCCATTAAAATCTAATTGCACCTTGAATATTTTGTTATCACTTCTTATCAGGTATGCTTATTAACCTACAACTACCATATCAGTAAAATTAAACTTGCTTTCATCAGGAAGCTAGATTTACAATTGATCTTCCACTTTTATTTTCCTTTCAAAATAAGAGCAGCCTTATTAATATAATTATGTATCATTGATTTTTTAATATTTGGTAATATCCTTCTTATCAATTAATCCTTCATAATAATATAATTCCAAGTCGAAAGCATTGGGATACTTTAAATGCTTGAAATCTTCAGTGCTGATTGAAATTTTTTAATCTGTTTAGTTGAACTTATCAATTGTTATTTATGGAGTTCTTGTCCAATTACAGAAGGTTATTCCTAATAATACTGACAAAATTAATTATGAAATCATATTATAAATATTTTATCAAACTTTTCTTTTAATCAAAAATTACCATAATCAATCAAGAATTCATTTCAAAAATCCCTCTGTTCTCATATTCCCAAGTCCTTTTCTTTTCTTATTTAAATACTCTATAATTAAATCAAAACTCACAGCATAATCAGAATTAATACAAATAATTATTTGTTATTTGTTATATAGGGTAGAAAAAAATCAAAAGTGGAAGTCTCATAAATTACTTCTTTCAGTTTTTACTCTATTGAGATCTTTAGAATTTTTAAAAGGATGCTATGCTACGATTCCACTCGTTCCTGAAAATTTGCGTAGAGGTTAGGCAATAGTCAAGGGTTTAACTACTAGGGCTTTTTTAATATCCAAATGAACTGATTTAGAGATAGGATCTATTCTATTTGATGTCAATTTATTATGATTTATTATTCTTTCTAGTTCATCCAACTGCTTATTTAGATGTTGATTCTACATTTTTAGCCTATCTGATTCTTTCAAACATAGGTTCATTTATTATCTTAATTGACATTCTTTCTAAATTTGCTACTCCAATTAATCTTTGAGATATGTATTTTCTAATTCTAATTCGTTAATTTTCTCAATCATTTATTAATTTTGACTATTTTTACTCGAAGTAGATGTGCTAGCTGCTTGGAACTCATCTTAATCAACAAATGATACTATTTTCATTAAATCTACTTTGTTATTTCTCAATTCAAATTCAGTCAATGATTGCAGGCTACTTTAAATGTTGGGTAGTTATGGATTCATAAGTAGCTCTGTTAATTATTCGATAGTTAAGGTTATTTTTGTATTACTATTCATTTTGTTAATTTAATTTAGAGATATTTCAATATTTTCTATAAATATAAACTTAAGTTAAAAAAGCATTCAAAAACTATCATAGAGACATTATAATGCAATTTAATCGTAAATTTAATTCCTCATTAGGTAATTCTTGTACCGAATTAAGAAATCGAATATAATATAAATAAATTTTAATATGTTAAATTTATAAACCATATTAAGAGGATTTGAAGAAAATGGATTAAAATAGGAAAGTATGTATAAGGCGGATGAAATATTGGCAAAATTAGATATTATGGGAAGGAAGGAATTTGATAGAGACATTGCAGAATAATTATTTTAACAGTGCAAACCAACTCAATTAAATTTGAAAATGGTTTATAGACTTGCAGATATTGGCTAAACAATCATAGACGCAATGTCGATATAAGGAGAAAAAGCAAAGAATGCCGAATTATAACTTAGATAAATTTAATAAAATAAAGCAATTTGTGAAAATCAATTAGCAGAAACATGTTTGTTATAAATCTATAATTAGCTGTTTATTCGGATACTAGATACTTATTTCTGACGTTATTATGTGTAAAAAACATTCCTTTAAATCTTAAATACACAAATTGTCATATTTAGTTAACTTTAGGGGTTATAAATTAAATTGCTAAACCGGAATCGCAATATGATAAAGTCAATCCTGAATTCAATCAAGACTTCGAATTGTATACCTATTTTTATTCAAAACTTATTCTAGTTCAGTCCCCCCTCTGATATCGACTCTCCAAATTCAATTTTTCATTAGAACAGAGAACACTTTACCTATACTCTGGGGTTCAGCCTAATTGAAGATCCAATAATTGGATGATTAGGTGATTAAACAAGTTGAGTTGAAATTAGTAGATCCAGTAGGTAGAGAACTAGGTTCTTCTGTTGAAATGGAGGCACAAATCGTGTTGAACAAGGTAATTTAGATGTTGTTATTAGATAACAGCATCAATACTTATAGGCCTAACTATAGAAATTTGAACAGAGAATCTTTACTTTGGATAATGATTTGATAGAGTATAGGAATAATCTAGAAATAATCGAGCGACCATTCAAAGCTAAGCAATTATCAAAGGAATAGACTAATAAATAATTGTCATCGAATATTTTTAATTAACAATTGCACACTTCTTAAAATTAATAAGAATAAGATCAAAATATCTATGAAATGGATTAACAATAAAATTAATTAAATTCACCCTAAGAATAAAAAGAATAAATCTGGTCTATTCTATAATCTGATAAATAATTAGAAATTTAGGATGAAACTCCAGAGGCTCCTGAGATCCTTCAACATGGAGTTATCATATTCACCATATATGGATTAATCACTCTATTTGTATGTTCTGCCAAACCCTCTTTTTTAGATGTACATTATAATTCACTCATTAATATAGGTGTTAGTCTGTCATGGATTGATGTTCACTATTTTGATGGATAGATTTGACCCATTTCATATTAAGTTGGTTGGTGCAGGACTTCTAGCTTCAATTTTATACGATATTTTGTGGATGAAACAATATCATGTAATGATTATATTAAATACTTAGTTATGGTGGTATAGTGATGATTAAAATAATCCAGAATGGGGATTGAATGCAGTTAATTTATTGAGGTTTGTGCTCATCTTTACCTATATGTAATTCCTATACAAAGTATTTTACTTAAATTATTAGTAGTTTGTTGTATGTTATTATTTATATTAATTTCATAGAGAATCCATTGATCCGACTAAAAGGTATGTGTTTACTATTTGGAAAATACAATATAAAGTGGGTAAAAGTAGAGAGAGTGTTTCTTGGCAATGATCATTTTAACTAAATTATGCATTTCTTTGCTTTATTTTAAATAATTTAATTATGAACATCTTGCGATTCGTTTATAGATACAGTTAATCACTTTCTTATCGGTTGAGTGAATAAGGTTAAGGTTTCTCATACCAAATCAATCTCCATTGCAATGATACTGTAAAATCCTTTTGGCACGACATACCCATCTATCCTGTAAAAGATTAATATAACATAATAAATGTTGGAATTGAAATACCTAAGGAGAGATTAGCTAAATTTGAAGTAAGTAAAACCATTAAATATAATCCAATTGTGCAAGATCAAAAGAAAAAAAAAAATTCTGATGAAAAAGAGCTAAGGTATTATGCCCAATTCGCTCCATTCAATTACGGCTTTATTCCTTAAACATGGGAAAATTCAACAGTTGATTTACATGATGGATTCAAGGGAGATGATGATCCCTTGGACATTTTGGACTTAAGTAATCAAAGTAACCTTAGACCTGGGGATATATTTTAAGCTAAAATCATTGGAGCCTTTTGTGTTTTAGACCAAGATGAAATAGATTGGAAGATTTTAGTATTGAACACTGAAGAGGCTGATAAATTATAAGTTAATGAATATAGTGATTTTGAAAAAAAGAATGGTGATATAAGTAGATTGATTTTAAACAGATTTCGTTACATTAAGACTTTTGATGGAAAAAAGGAGAACACTATTTTATTCAATAATTAAATCTTTGATGCAAAAAAAGCAGTTGATGTTGTTAGAGATGGTCATCAGTAGTATTTGGATTTGCTTAAGAATCCTAAATTGAATTAGAAAAGAAAGGAATTTTAAATTACTCAATGATTATCATCTTAAATGTACAATTTACTCAAAATATCTCCATTAATAGAGTTAATGAAACTTAAAATTAATCATGATTTCCTATTTCATTATTAGACCTGTTATTAATTTTCTTGTTGTTCTAAGGCCTACTGTTCCAATTAACGAGCCTACTCTTCTTCGGCCAATCTTTAGTCTTCAATTTCCTTCAATCTTCTTTCTTCTTCCTGTCTCTTCATTTCCTCTTTTTCTCTCTTCTTCCTGGCGATTTCTTCATAATGATTTTCTATGAATTGTTTTCTTCTAAGAATTGAGTTAGCATGTGCATTTGTAAGTGAATCTTCAACATCAAATAACATATCTAAATATTGATATTTAAACTACTATTGAAACTGCTCTTGTTTCCATCCTCATCGATTAAATCAGTCAATATATTTGAATACATCCAAGGTAGATATTCAGATAATAAGGCAGTTTCTAAAGGATCTCTATACACTCCTAAATCTTAGAGTTTCTTGAAGGTATTTTACTTTAGAGGACCAATCAGAGATTTTGACAAAGTTCTGCAGATAATTTTCTAATGACTCTGTTTTTAGATTTTGAGAAATGTTTCATATTATAGTTTTCTCCTTGCTTCTTCTTAATCTAATCTTTATTATACAGCTTCTAATCTTTGCATGTTTGAAAAGACATCTGCCTTTTATTTTTCATGTTGCTTTTATTATAATTTCATCAATTTGATTTCTTCCTCCTCCAGAACTTCCATTCTTGATTATTCCAAGATCTTATTCATCAAAACCTATAGAATGGGTTCTACTTCTTGGTCAAAATCGAATAGATCACCTTCCCATATTTAAGTTTCCTATTGATATATAGATAGTATATTTTTCTACCTTATCAATTCCATTTTTTTTTGGTACAAATAATCGATCAGGAGGCTTATCAATATAATAGTCTGTTTAAGCATCCATTTCTTGTTCAGGTGGTTTATCAGTTAGGATTTCAAGATACTCATCAGTTTGTATGTCAATATTCACACGATTCTAAAATGGTCTGGGTGTTTGAGGATGTAGATAAGTGGTTTATGCTTGAGGAGCCTACTTTGATATTTTGATTATGTAACCGCTTTTTAGGTAGGCTTTTTGAATGATTTCAAAGTCATTAATTTCTTATCGCCTTGTGTTTATACACTTGCATAAGTATTCCCCCTTATAACTCTCTTGTCAAACATAATGTTGCATCCAAGTAATGAACTTAATATAAATTTGAATCTAAACCTATCCTTTTGATCGTCTGATTGCTAAATTACTTATGGTCTGTATTTGGTCTTCGGTTTCACTACTTCAGGAGCAGCCTTGAATTCGTAATTTTCTGCTGCCAACGCCTATGCCATATTTATTATTAAATATTAATATATGTATTGCAAAAGGATTTTAAATAAAAAATAACAAAGAAATCATTCTAACTTAGAATTTTTCGCTGCTAATCTTATGGCCTCAATCATTTAGTTCCAGAATTCTTCCACCACCACTTTCCTACCAAATTCAAGTGTTGGTTCTAATCCAAGAACCCCATGTTTGTCAACGACAGTTCTCCCGTAACATAATTTAGATTCGCAATCCACAGCTACAAATAACTGTTTGGTGATATAAAGCTCAGGATGAAGAGCATAAAATACAGCAACGGCTATTAAAGAATTCAAGAGGATTATTACGATCATGAATAGGAGGGTAATCGAATTCTTGGGCCTTGTAAGCTGCTTAGAATTCCTACAGCATTTCCAAGCACCAATCTGAAAACTTCGAATTGATTGCCTTGATTCTCTATTACAATGACTCAACCAATTAGCATGTCTATATAATTAATTTATTGATTACATATGTTAGATCCAAGGCAATCATCACTAATTTCAATTGATGTTACTTGCAAGTGTCAATCACGAATTATGCTGCCTCTGGATCTGAATAAATATTGTATTCTGAATTTGGCGTTGCATTTCCAAAACCTGAAGCTCCACCCATAAAAACGATCTCTTAAATTTAAGGGATGATCTCTGGGTGATCTCTCAATAAAATTGCTATATTTGTTTACGGGCCTGTTATGACTATTACGAACTATTCTTCTGGTAATACTAATACCTTTTATTCCCCAGCTCTCTTTTTAATTAGATCATACAATGCGATATTTTAAAGCGGTTCAAAACTTTGGATTAACTTGTCTGCTGCATATAAACCTATTTGTTTGATTATCAACCATTATTACCTTAATTTCCATGCATTTTTGTAGTAGCCCTTACAGATTTTAATGAACATTCTGCACCTTTGTATACTGGTACATCAGATCTGCCCACAGAACTCAAGATCCTGATTGTATTGATTGTACAGTTTTCAAGACTAATTCATTAAATTAACCAAATACCAGGTATTTCCAAAACAGGTTGAGATTCCCATTAAATTTGACTTTGGATGAAACAAGGCCATAATGATTGCCATTGCATCATCATTCCCTACATCACAATCTAACCATATATTAACTTTTTCGACTTCCATATAATATGAATTAATATTAATAATATTTATTGTCATTCATTGTCAACATTAAAACTCCTTTTATATAAATATTCCGCCTAAATTATAATTACAATTCAAATACTAAAAATTCGACAGGATCATCAGGTAGAATATGTGCCACTTCCACTAATCCTTCATTCAATACTGGCACAACAAAATCCATTAAATAATTTCTAAAAGGAAATTGTTTGACTTGTTGTAATTCTTATTCTTGTTCCTCTATGTACTTCGTATACTTCGTAACCAAATCTTATCTTTTATCCTTCTTCACTTTTGTAATTTCTTTCCAAATTTGAATCGATTATTTTCTAGTATACTTAATAGTCAAATCTTTGATTCTCTGTAAATTGAAATACAAAACTATCAATTCCTTTTCATTCTGTAAGTAATTATAAGGTCTTCCGTTCTAATAAGATAGAATTAATAATTACTCTTTCAATATAAATTCTTAAATCTTCAAAAGTATCATGATTTGTTTTCTTTCTTGGATCTATAAAATAAGCATCCAAATTTCTTTCACTAAAGAAATTAATCAACTTCCTGTTATATTCAAAATTATCAGTTTTGCCTAATGGTTTAATTACTATATAAGATTCAGGGAAAAAATCCTCTGGTTTAGGACCACCTTCTTATTCGTCTTCCTGTTACTCTTCCTCCTATTATTCTTCTTCTTATGCTTCCTCTTATTATGGTTCATCTTATTATTAGTCTTCTGGCTACTCCTATTCGATTGGATCTCCATTCTCATCAACAGCTGGTTCTTGAGGGGGTTTCTGTTCCTCCTCAGTAACAACTGGTTTCTTCTTAGGTTTCTTTTTCATCTTTAATTTCTATTTATTTGGATAGAAGATGAAATCAGCCTCTTCAAAGTGATTTGGAAAGTTCTGTAAAATAAATCCCCTGTTTTAGCAATCATTTTAGCTTAATCTCCACTTGATTACTTTATAATAAATCTTCAATTGTTCTGACAACTATGCAGGTGCTTAGCTATCGATATATTCTTGAATAGTAGGCCAATATTCATTAAAATCTTCTTGTATTTCCGATGGGAACACATAATTTGGATCTTAAGCATCTTTAAATATTTATTCTTAATTAATCACTGGAATTCTATAATGATCACTAATCATAGTTAAAATGTCTTAAAATCTCATATTTTCTGCTTTAGATTCCATAATTATTTTAATTGGTCTTAATTTATGTATTGTTGTGAATTCTTATAATATTTTCTTAGCATTCACAGCAATTCCTTTTTCACAATGCCATTCAAAATCAGATGGAGTTTCTTCATTTCCTATGAACATTTAAGATGGTTTGCAATCTAGATGTAACCTAAAGCAATCCATTTCTTCAGGAGTGAAATCTTTGAAAAAATCATCATTTTATTCAATCCAACCGCTTCCAACTCCAGTTGCAATACCTTGTATTATAGCTTTTTGAGTTCTATCTTAAGTATTATCAACAGCGAAGATATAATTTGACTCTGGAATAGATTCAGAAACCTTCACAATCATTTTAACTAGATCAGTTATATGAACTGTGGGTACTTTATTATTTCCGTCTGGTTAATAACTTAATTTATATGGCTATTATAACCATGCTTTCTTATTATTAGATCAAATAGTATACTTTAAAATATTTCTAAAAGAGTAACTCTCCTTTGCCATATATTAAGCCTGCACATACAACTATAACTTTTAAGTTTTCTTTCTACAAACTTAAAACCATATCTTCCCATTCCTTTAATTATGAATATTAAGCAGAAGCACTTCTCAATTTGTAATCATTTTCCTCCCAAGGCACATATTCTATAACCTCTGGAACTTCATTAATTGGCTATTACTAAATCTATTATTATTCTTATTCCTAATCTTAATTTTCATCATCTTTGGGTTCTTAATTTTCATCTGCGTCTGGCTCATCCTTCTTTTGCTATTGTTCTTACTACTCTTATTGTTCTCCCTCTTATTCTTCATCTGGTTTTTTTTCTACTTTCGGCTTAACCTTGTCTGGCATGGCACTCCATGTTAAAACGGAGGAAACGAGAATTAACACCTTTTCATAGTATAGAATTATACTTTCTATTCTTCTAATGTTGTTTTGCTATTCCTAAAGATATCGCATACAAAATCTAAATCTGTTTAAGTTGCAGAAGCTACATCATACACATAAACATCGCATTCTTCAAGCATCTTTTTTCTAGACAACTTAGGCTTGTAACTAGCATAACGAATTTTCATACCGTTTCAATATTTTCTTAAACCCTTTTGGGGGCATCTTATTTGGATCATCAATTGTATAAGTTGCCATATGCACGCCTTCATCAGTTTCTTCCTTTACTAATTATGAGTAGAACTCCTAGCCTAATGGGCTATCTAAATTATTGATAAAATATCTCTTAGACATTTTTGCAATTTTATATTTTAAATTATTTTATATTTAAATTATTTATACTAGAAAGTAATTAAGATTATATACAAAAATAAAAAAGTCATGCCTTTAAATTCTTCTTTAGAATATTTTTCTTTTTGATTTAAGGCACTAGATGTTCTTTAGTAATTTTATTGAATTTTTGTTTACAAGAATAGTATTTTTTAGTTCCTAACCCAACTGATTTTTTTTAAATGTTGTCCAACTTCTCCAAATAATTGATTTCGCTCAATTAGACCATTAGAGCATCATCTTTTGAAAAATCATCGTCATAATTTGAATTTGATCGAGTATCTAAACATTCATAATTTTCGTCATTTTCTTAACTCTATTAATTTTCTTCATTATTTATTTCGATGGAACAAATATTTTTTTATTTCTTTTGATTTAACTAAAAGAATTCATTTCCTCTAATTTTGTTCCTCTTTTGTGTTTCTTCATCATCGTCAGAAGGATTCAAAAGTATGCATTTTCCTAAGAACTCTTCAGCCAAATTATATATCTCATCTTAATCATTTTCAAAGTAATAAAGCCCATAATTATCATCATTTTCAGTTTCGGTCTTTTTTTCTTTGACTTCCTTTTTAGCTTTCTTTTAAAATGTTTTCCTATATACTCTTTCTGCAAAACTCATAATTAATTAAATAATAAAAATTTAATATTTAAATGAGGCTTTATTAAAGTTTGAAATTCTATAAGTTATTTATTAATTTATTCTATTGATTCATTAAATTATCCAATTTGAATTTAAATGAAGATGATTTCCTTCATAAATTAGAGATTCATTGATAAGAATATTAATTATAAAGATATTCATTAATCAATTTATAAGCATCCCAATTACGCTTGAGTAATGATAATTAATCTTATGAGATAGCTATTTATCTTTTTGATGATGTTTTGGCAAATTGTTGAATTTATAATATATTATTAATTTAATTCGTTCCCCTTTAGATTTTAGGCTTTACAATAAGTTCTGTTTTTTATACAACAGGATCAGACCCCTTCCTTTTTCCCCTCTTTTCAGGCAATAACTACTCACTCACATCTGAGGTCGTTGATTGATTCTCTTTTTTCGAATAATAAGTGGATGAAGTTTCAGCAGTTGACCATTTTAATAGTTTCTTCTTTCTCTAAGGCAAGATCCCTATTTCTTCACTCATAATTTCGTCATTTTCATTGGAAACATCTTCACTATCATATTATTGTTCTGATTTTGTAGCCTTAAATTCCTCCTCCTACGCTTAATATTTGTCTCTCTCATATTGAGTTTTAAAAACATAAACTTCAGCCTTTAGATTAAGTTTTTCACATATCAAATAATGATTGCCAATCTTACAGTCAAACTTGCATTGCTCTTCAAATTTTAATGGTTTGCTCTTCTATTATATAAATGTAAAAGTCAATCCTTCCTCTTATTTATTTTTAATAATTAGTTTATCAGTTTTTAAAAGATATAACCTACAAGGAGTCAGCTCCTGATTGGAAATGGTGATCATAAATTAATTAATTATAAATATAAAATGCTTTCATTAATTTAAGGAGACATAATTCAATAAAAAGCAGATGCAATTGCATTACCTTCTGATATAGCATTATTAAAAGCTCCTGGTTTGAAATAATTACATCAAAATGGTTAATAATAATACAATGACTCGATAACAAACCAAAAACCCTTTAGTTAAATTTAATAGACATCTGTCATTACATTACCCCTTTAGAATAATTAATTTAAATATATCATTTATTGTATTGTTCCAAAATCTGACTTGAATAATTAAGAGTTGTAATTATCTCTTTTATTAGAGTTACTATTTGAAAATATGTAATAATAATAAGTCTAATAGAAACTAGTTTTGACGAAATTACTTTTTTAAAATTATAATCTATCCTAATACCAGTGCTTGGTTGTGATAACGCGGATTTTACTATATAAGAATTTTTGATGGCTTTTTAATCAATTTATGCAAAATAAAGAGATAATTTGAAAGATGTTAATTTGATATTTGTTTCCTAAAGCTAATAAGAATATGAACCTGTGAGAAGATTTTTATCAATTAAAACCCCAAACATAGCAAATCCTAATTTTGATAGTATTTATAAAACAGTCGCTCAGGGATGTTAAACGTCTCTAACTGAAACATACAATCAATTTCATTAATAGAACATTAAAAAAAATGTTGAAAATCAGAAACCAGAAGTATAAGAAGGAAGTGAAATTGCTTAATATAGAAGGGATTACAATTCTAAAAAATAGAACTAATAAAACTAGGGTAATTATTAAGCAGAGAATTCTCATAATTAAGAAACTTTAAACTAAAAAATAAGGTAACATAATTAAAATCCAAATGAATTTTAATAAGTTGGTACATTCAATTAGTCAAATCAATCAATTATACTAAAATCTTCTCCTGTTATTTAGTCGAATAAGAGCTTTTTTTCTCTCATTATTTACATAGATGAACTTATTTTAGAATAGAAAGATCTAATTAAATTTATGCTATAGGTATGTTGTGATCTCAATCAACTTCATTATAAATTATTATAAGATTAAGAAATCCTAGAATAATCTAATTAAGTTTTTAATTACAAGCTTTCTTATAAATATTCGATGATCCCTAAGGAATTGTTTCCTTTTTGTCCGCCTGAGATGTTAGAGAATTAATAGATATCTGAAACTAATGATTCATATTCGCTAGGTATTATATTTAAAAGAGTTCTTGAAATAATAAACTATAAATCAAATTAAGAAGATTGTAAATAAATACATTATAATTATAGAATAAAATATGATTTAAATATAGACATTATTAGATAAACTAATTTCTCAAACAACCTAAAGACCATTAATAGATGATATATTTAGTTTTTTATTATCCCTTCAATTAAATGAGTAATTTATTGAGAAATGGACTTAAGATTAAAAGAATATTAATTATTTTTATAGAAAACGTGGTATTTGGTAGAAGATAAAAGACTTTAAAAATTAAATTATGATGAAAGCCTCCTTTTTGAACAATTAAGGTTCTGGCAATCAGCAATATTCTCTTATATAAATTGATAATAAACCATAGGATTAGATTTAATTACTAAATCATCAAGAATCTACTTTATTCACTAAACTTTAATAAAATGAATTTAACTTAGATTGTGAATATGCATAAAGGGAATAAAATTATAAATTCTGTTAAATTGATTGTGTAGTTATTTCAGTAGATAAATACTAATTTAAATAAAACTTACCTAGCTTTATAAAATTTGATTCAAAATTAGACTATGTACTTGATAAAATCATAACTTTGGCTTAAAATGAGAAAGAACATTATTTATAATCAATAAGACAATATGTACCAATATTTGGTTGCAATCTTGTACTTTTGGTATTTTGTCCAAATCAAGATTAGACAAATGGAAGATAGAATTAATTAGTCAATTGCTTAAGGGATATGTAAATTATTTATTCTTTAATTAAGACTTTTGTATAATTTAAAATATTAGAAAATTACAACTTTTTGTCTATGTCTAGATGATATTTGTAAACAATTAAGTGCAAATCAAAATGATTTATCAATGGATTTATTAGCCAAAGCATTTGATGAAGCTTGTGCTAAGATTCCTGATCCAGTAATTTGGAATGAAATATAATTTAATAACTAGAAGTGGATTGTTGTTAAAAAAAGTAAATGAAAAAAGTAACATCTAGCTCCTATGAAAATTAAGATACTTGAACAATCAATAATTATCCATAATTAAGATATTACTCAAATCAAAGGAGTTGATGCTATCGTAAACGTAGCTGACCCTAATCTTAAAAATCGAGGGGGGATTTGTGGAGCTGTTTTTAGAGCTGCAGGTGAAAATCTATTAGAAGAGGAAATTAACATGTTGTTTAACAAACTTGGGAGAAAATAACCAGAGACTTCAGAAGTCATTGTTACTAAAAGTTACCGCCTGGGATAAGAAAATGGGCCAAAATACATAATTCATGCTGTTGGTCCAAAATATAATCCATAAGACCCTTAAAAGTCAAAAGAATAACTAAATACATGCATTGTTAACATGTATATTTTTAGAATTTAATTCTATTATTAGATTACAAAAATGTCAAGAATATAAAATAACATCAGTAGCAATACCTCCTATTTCAGAAAAGAATTTTGATTTTCCGAAATAGATTTGTGCTTAAATATTTCATGCAGCGCTTCTGTAATTTCAATTTTAAAATCCTATGTCTATACATATAATTGATGTGAGAGACAAAGTAGTTGATATATTTAAGATTATTTTTAAAGGTGAAAAATTAAGAGAAACTATTCATTCAAAATTAGATTTTGCTCCTCCAACAGATTGTTTAGTTTGCCCTATAAATATATAAAATTATAATTCTGAAGCTCTTAAAAGGATAATAGAGTTAGCTGGTCCTTCATTCTAAAATGAATTGGAAGAATAAATAAAAACTAAATAAAATTAGAGCAATCTCAAAAATTGCTAAAGCTTTTTAATACAAGGCCATAAAATGAAATTCAATAACATCTATCAAGTTTTGTTGATTTCCAAACCATTAAATATAATTGATAAATAAACACTCTTATATTAAGTATATTTTTCAATGTATTTATTATTGCCTAAATTAGATTGGTTGAGACTTTTCTGAAGAACAATATCACTTCAATTACAATATTGTTGTATAGTATTCTTCAATAATGTTTGACTAGCTAGGAAGATTTTATAAAATATTGTGGAAAGCAAGCTATCAATATATTATTAAAAGCAATTCAGGATTTTGAAGAAAAATATCAGTAAGAATGTGGAAAAATTACCATATTATCAAATGCTGCATAATTTTGTTCCGAGTGTGAATTAATTTTTAAATGAATTAATAATAAATTCAATTTTCTTAATACTTCTTGAAATAAAATTTCAATTAAATATACTTGATTATAATTAATGAGTGATAGCTCCTCCATTATTTAAATTTGATTCTCGAAATAAATTTGAATAAATAGTGATTAAACACATATAATCATAAAATATACCTTTCATATATCTTTAATTTCATCTGGATCATTATTAGCATAGTAGGTGTCCCAAAAACCCAAAAGGCAGTAATTTTTACAATTGAATACAAAAAGTTTACTTTAATATAGAGTCGTTTTCTATAACCGATTATTAAATGCGACATCCAAAATAATTTTTAAGGAAGCTAAAAATTCTTTTTGAAAACTAACAATTTCAAAATATTGAATGCGATTTAAATAAATAAAAAATTATCCTAGAGTAACAAAAATGAAAATATGAATTTATAGGTTTAAATAGTTTTCAAATAAAAAAAATATTTTAAAAAAAATAATCACGAAACCAGACTCAAATCCTAATAATTAGTTGTAAGTATATTTAGAAGCAATAACTAAATAATAAATTACTTAATAAAACTTGAATTTTCAAGAAACTTCTTAATATTAAAAATATCTAACGAACTTTTTTGTTATTAGAGGATATGTTATTACTATTTAATAATTAAATTTACAATTCGAGAGAATGTGTATAACTTAATTGTATAATTTAGAATGCTCTTAAACTTAATCTAAAGCTTTATCTCATCCCTTTTCAATCATTGAGACCTCAACAATCAGAGTAACTAAAAATGATATAGAAATTTAAGATGTATACTACAAATTTTTATATTATTTAGAACAACATTAATAAGATGTTGACTCTTAACATTGATGACATCAAATTTATGACATGGATAAAGCAGTATTATACAATTTTATAATATAGTGAAAATATCTATGAGGTTACCTTTCAAAAAAAACAAAACTTTAAAGAAGATAAATTCATTTTTGATATCTACCATGGGAAATTAGGATACTAAGCCCTTATTACTAGGATTGCATAACCCAATTTTGACGATAACTATGAAAGGATTGAAACTATCAAACGAATATAAAATGGAGAGGTATTTAAAAAACAAATATTTCGAGATTATGAAATGTCGTAGACGAGAGAATAATGAAATTTTTGTTGCAAAAGTTCAATAGAATAACCATTTTCTCATAGAAAGAGAGCTAAATATTAATTTACTTCTCGCTGTAAATCGACATGAAAATGTAGCGAGTATGGTTGAATATTATTTTGAGGATGACAAAATAATACTTATTTATCCATATTTCTCAGGGGGCACCTTAAACTAACTTATTAGTGCTAATGCTAACAATATAAGCCAGCTCAAAGTAAAGTCAATCATGAAAAAAATTTTATCTGGGTTGAATCACATCCATAGTTTAGGCATCATACATAGAGATATAAAAATGGATAATATAATGTTAGAAGAAATTGATGATCATAAATGTGTTAAAATCATTGATTTTGGATTTTCAGCATTCAAAGATAATTTGAATTATTTATCTGAGAAATGTGGCACAATTGGGTACTTTCCTCCTGAGATTATTAATGGGTAGTTTTACAATGAGAAATGCGATATATATAGCTTAGCATAAGTTTTTCATACACTTTTAACAGGAAATCCAATGTTTGATAGAAATATGAACAGATAATAAATTATTAGATTATCTAAAAATAATTTATTCAAGATTGATTATAGAAATATCAAAGAGGTCAAGGCCTAATAACTATTATTTAAAATGCTTGACTTTTAAGAAAAAAGATATGATGTAAAACAATGTTTAGAGCATTCCTATTTTTCGAAAGCAGTAAATTTGGATTTAAAGTATTTATTTTTATTCATCTATAGAATTAAAAATGTAGAAACCTTGAAGTTCAAATCTCCTTTCTGATATCCTGCTATGAATATTATATATTTATTAGTTGTTTAAATTGTAGACTTGATAAAATTTTCTTTATAATATTATAGTAAATAATTAACACAAATTTCACAAATTTAAAATTAATCAATTCTTTAAAATATATTAATTAATATAATATATAATTAAGAATCTAGTATGGTAAATAGCAAATAATATGTGGATGCCGTTTTTGTTTTACTGTATATTTTCAATAATTAATTTAGATTTTTCTTAGTATTTGATTATTTCATTCACTTGAGTAAATATAAATTTATATAGGGAAGCATTTTTGGTCAAAGAGTATCACTTGGATTTTTGGTATTTATATTAAGGTAATTTATATCTTAAACACAAGGTTCTTTTTGATAATTAACCTATTTAAATACTTGGAATATCATAATATATATATTTTTTATTTTAATATTCATAATAATGTATGTTTAATTACAAATAAAAATGCTATAAAAATATTTAACCCAACTAAAACACAAATGCACTTCTAAGCTCTGTCGCTAGTTTCCTGTTTTGTGTTAGCTTAGACTAATTATTATTTTCCTTTCTAAATTCTTGTGAAAGTTTGATCGATATTAAAATCAATACGATCCAATAAAGTTCCTTGTTCTATAACCAATCGATTCATTTCTATAAATAATTCATTCATTTTTTTCAATTTCTCTCCTAATGACTTGATTCTATCGTTTCTATCAAGAATTAAAGTTTCAATATATTCCTATTCAAAATCAACTTTAAAGTTTTATGCTGGTCTTTCTAATTGCACTTGCCTCATCATTTAATTTTAATAGCTTCTTAATTATGGTGTAACTTCTTTTAAGGATATACCCAAACACATTTTAGCATTTTATTTGATTTTATATTCGAGATCATTTTCACAATCGTCTGTTTCCATAATTTGTAAATTCTCTTCAATATCCCTAATCATCTACTATACTCAGATTTTAACCTGTAATGCTTAATCAAGTTTCCCTTGTACTAATTATTCATTGAATTGTGCTTTTGGCCCAACATCCTTTGAAGTCTTTAACCTTTCAATTTCCTAATTTAAAATTCCAACTTTCTATATAGTATCCCTAGTTTCCTCCATTTTGTCAACCCATTTAGGTGGAAGTTAGTAGATCCTTCGACTACTATTTAGATCTGGTGATTTGTATTTCTATTTCTTCAATTATAACTCCTTGGTTCTATTCTTAATATAACCTATTGATCTTTGCATAATTTCAAATTACCAATATAATAATAATCATTTATTATGAAAAATAAAGCCAACTCTTAAATCCCATTTCCAGTAGCCTATAATAAAATGAACCATTTCCAATTACCATTGCTAGGGAAGAAGAAAAGAAAGGCTCATACAAAAAACCCCTTCAAAACAAAAATCTATTACATTCCTGATGACACTGTTATGAGAGTGAAATGTCTAGACGGGTTCTTGATGATCAACGTAACCAATAATGATAATCCTCATGAAATTATCAGAGCAAATTTATCAAGTTTAGTATTGGCATAACTTATTTAGGACTCCGTATATAAAGCAGTAAACCTGAAGACTTTCAATATTTTCTAAATCTACAAGATTTGGATGTTTCTGAGAATTCATTATAATTGGAAGATTTAACCTCATTCCCAGCATTGAAAAATTTAAAGATTTGTGCTAACAACATTAGAAATATTGAAATCACTCACAAGAATACATTTGAGTCACTGTAACATCTTGATTTATCATTTAACTATTTAAATAAGGAAGCCATAAGTTCATTAAAAAATATTACAGAATTAAAGGAACTTTATTTAGTTAGAAATGAATTACTTGAATTGCCAATCGATATGGCAGAGTTTACAAAGTTAGAATTGTTAGACATAAGTGATAATGCATTTTAATCCAATTAGACTGCTTCAGTCTTATGGGAAGTCTTAGGCTAGATACCTGAACTTAAAACACTTAATATAAGTAAGAATTTCTTAAGGGGAATTCATACTGAAAGGCTGGTTGTTGGATATTTCAATAAATTAGAAACTTTAGATTTCTCCTATAATATTGCTGAAAACTAACATAACTTAATATGTGCTCGTAATTTTACTAATCTCAAGAAAATTATTATTACTGGAAATCCATTTGGAATTACTAGAGATCATCAAGGTCTAGAAATGGAAATTCATGCTAGAACTGGAGGTATTTTAATAAATGAGGAGATTGAAAAATCCTATCTTAAGAAACCAAAGGTTAAGAGACCTCCCTGTAAATTTGAATAATTAAAGAGAGTTGAAAATGATATTCTAAAATTGCCAGTTATTGAATAATCTAAAGATGGACTCTTATTAAATAATGAGGAGGAATAATCTCAAATTGATGAGAACTAGGAGGACAATATGTTTGTAACTGAAAATTAACAAATTAAATAACAATAATAAAAATTATAATAACAATATTAATTATTAAGCAACAATTAAAAACCATCAACATATGAAGAATTCAAAAAATTAGCTTAAGAAATATTAGGTGATAGCAAAGAGTATGATTAAAATTAAAATTCATCTGGTAGACCAGTATTAGACTTAACAAAAGCATATCAACAACTTAAAAGTGTTATCAATAAACCAGAAGTTGTGGATTATGAAGATTATAAAGAGCCTAATTATATGAAACCTACAGCAAGTATTCCAAGATATAAATATTAATGTATTAAATATCCTTATTTCTAATAGAAGTGGATGATCCTGAAGACGAAAGCATTTAAAAAAGAACTGATAATAACAACCTCAATTCAGAAGAGAATGAAGATTTCAATCTTGAATTATTATAGCAAGGATAAAACTAAACACAAATTTAATAATGACCAGATACCTGATTATTTGATATTTTTACAATTCAAATTATTAATTTCAATATCATTTAATATTAAATAAGTAAGAGTTCAATGTGCTAATTCTTAAACAAAAATTATAAATAAATATCAATAGTTCTTTCATAATTAATACAATCTATTAGACAAATGCACACATTAAATCTTTAAAAGTATTCAATTTTTAAAAACTTCTTATATAAAGATTGTAAGTCATCATATTATGTAAATTGTAATACAAAAAAATTAATAACATATTTTTAATATGCTTAATTATCTTATAAGGATGTAGAGATTTTCTGTCAAGATAATAAAAGAGAATATTGTCAAATTAGTAGATGTTGATGCTATTGTAAATGCGGCTAACTAAGAATTACTTCCTGGAGGTGGAGTTTGTGGTGCAATATTCTAAGCTGCGGGAAGAGAATTGGAGAGGGAATGCTAATAATATATTTAGCAATATGGAATTGTACCCACATCTAAATTAGCTGTTACAAGTAGCTGTTAACTAAAAAAAAATAACATAAAATATATCATTCATGCAGTTGGTCCAAAATACTTTTAGTCTTCGAGTCCAGAAGATGAATTGCAAATCTGTGTAAACAATATGTATTTTGTTTCCATAAATATAAAACTAGTCTCAATTAATCATTCAATGTATTGGAATTGAAATCGGTTGCTATTCCAGCTATTTCAAGTGGAATTTACGGGTTTCCAAAAGGGTTGTGTGCATAGATATTTAAGCTTGTTATTGAAGAATATCAAAAGGATACATCAAATAAATAGGGGGAGATCATTTTATGCAATTTTGATTAAGAAACTACAACAATATTTCAAAAAGTATTCTAGTAATAAAACTCATTTTGATACCATCTATAATTATATGTGTTTAAATATTTTTATATAAATTTATTAATTTTAATGTCCTAGAATTTAAATCTAAGAGATAATGTCTATATCTTGAAATAATTGATTGTTAAATTAAAATATTATTGTAAAGATGATATTTTATAAAAAGGAGAAATTTTTATAAAATCTTAATGAATTAAACTTGAATTAAGAAGAAATCTATGATTTCTAATAATAATCTTCTTTTTAAACAGGAAGAAATAATAAAACCCTTATTTCCAATAGTCTTTAAAAGTAAAAAGGTTAAAAATTCATGAAATAATTTGCTTCTAATTTTTTGAATATTTTTATTAATTGATTAATCAACTTATGTTTTGTCTTAAAGTCTTTAATAATATTTTACAAATCACTATTAAACTCATCAAAGATTTCATTGTTCTAGGCTTAATTAGATTTAAAAATATAAATGGATAATAAATTCTAACAGATTTCTAAGATTGAGTTAATTTTCTATATTTATTACTATCAATAAATAAAAATCATGATTTATGGAAAATAAATTTTGCACAATTAGAATTCTTCAAAATATTTGAAAATGAAATGGATGCTAATTTAAAATTAAATAATTAAATTAGTATAATTTGATAATTATTCAAAATGGGAAATAACTAATCTTAAAAGAACTAAACGAAATCTAAAAAGAAGGACCCTCTTCTTTTTTTGTTTGGGAATAACAAAAAGCAAATGTATTATGAGATAAAATTATTTTTTTAGTATTTTCTCTAAGTTATCATTGAAAACATTGTCTTTATTAACCAGTTTTTTGACGATTTAAGAGTACCATAATATTTTGTTAACTTCAAAAGCAACCTACTAATTGTTTATACAGACATCAGGTTGTTTTCAAATAGAATGCTAAAGACTTTTAAATGTTAAGGGAGATCTAATAATATCATAAAATTGGAAAAAAATCATCTAAAGCATTGTGTTCATTCCAATTAGAGGAATACCTTTTAGTGATGCAATAAAAAGTGTTCGACACCAAATAAAGCAAATTCCAATAATAATAGAACAAAAAGTTTATTATAGCGGATTTTAGAAAGCCATTCTATATTTTTAAAACAAATCAAATGATTAAAAGTTTTCATTTAATGAATATTAAGAATCCATAGAATTTGCCAATAAAAATTCAGATTTAATTTTGAAGCTTAGGCAAGGATTGGAAGTATATATATAATTACCACAATTGTTGATGTAGATTTACAATTTGCATGATTATATAAAAATATATAGTCTTTATTTGGAAATCAAATTTTAAAAATGTAATCTGTAATAGTTTATTGAACTTTGGCATCATTATGCAGGATGGATAAGTATATTGGAATAAGAAACAGCACGTTTGATTGTTTAATTTAATAATATCATTGATGCTACTTTCCCTTAATATAGATTACCCAACTATACAGTTAGATAATTTATGGTGAGTTAATGGTTGAAAAAATCAGATAGAGGAGAAATCATAGTTATGTTAAGAGAGGAATTTAGATTAAAAATGATTGAAAGCAGAAATAAAAATATTAAATTCCAAGAATTAAGAGACTATGTTTAATACTTAATTGACATTAGTACAAACTAAACAAATATACATTAATACGGATATTATAATTTTGAATATTGTGAAGAATTAAATAAATTGGTTCAATTGGCAGTAGATTTGAGTCCTTTGTTGACAATCGATTATAAAACTGATGAAAATATGCTGATCTATATATTTGGTTAATACATCTACGATTATTACATATTTGAATTGTTATCCACTTTTAGAATTGAATAATTCAAATAATAAATAAGAGAGCATTAGTAATCAAGTCAAAAAATGACTAAACTCGTAACTAAACATCTTGAAGATTTGTCACTCTCCAGTAATAATCTCTTTGAAAATTAAATATAGGGATTTAATTATCATATGTCTATGTAATATAATGTCTAATTTAAAATACGATCCTTGTTCAAATAAATATCTTATTTAGATGAAGATATTTGCTAAACTTCAGAGAATATTTAACCTGAGAGTTTAGAGATATCACAAATATCTTTTGCATCTACTAATTGTAGTTCAATTTTGTCAAGCATCAAAAATAATGATTAGGCCTATCATTATGTCAAAAATTACTAATAAGAACTTTTTCATAATATTGAACTATTTTATCAAAAGGAACTTGCTATTAGTCAATATATACAGGATGCTGAACCGAGAAATACTTTTATATACGATATTCCTGAATTAGGGTAGTATCTTGATTTGCAATTTACATAAATAATGGATTTATTTTAAAATAAGTAGTAACGATCAATTGCAAATCCGTAATCTGAAAAACGATTAACAATGTCGATTTTTAATTAATCAATGAATCAACAGTAAATTTGCACTAAGGAACTCTCCTAAGCTGAATAACTGTTGATCAATTTTCTTAAATGATACTTTATTTTTGTAAAATAATATATAATTAGAATTATTTTTTATTCTTATATGCAATTGGGTGAAAGAACCTATAGATTATATAAAATGCTTTAAGTCAAAATAAATTGGTAGTGGACTCGTCTTTTGTTTACCAAGCATTTAATTCATTCCATTATTCAGAATTTCTAACTCTTTGTTTCAACATTGGCGTATACCTTCGTACTAATGGCTAAGGAGTTGCTGCAGTGCTTCTATCAAACTTTTCTATAGCATCAGTAGGATATCTAAAATAACACTTTCTTAGCCCACTGGAGTGTCTAGGTTGATTTAGGAAGAAGGGATTTTTTTCACTTGAATTTACCATTCTTTATAACCCTGACATATTTAAAACATGAGATTCCTTTAATTCTTCTAAAATTAATTTTCCATGTTAATCTGTAAACATATCATGAGGGGATTATTATCTATTATCCTTAAAGATTCTTATTAGTTTCGATTTGAGAGATTGGATTTTAGTATGCATTTGATGCGTTTCTTTCAACTTGATAACTCTATTTTTAGTGTATGCCGAAAATAATGTTTCTTATGGCTGCAGATTGCTATACCGACTATGGATTTTATTAGATTTAGGTTCTTCACTGAAATTTAACTCGAAAATGTTTTGCTTTTTTAATCTGAAAGCTTTCTCTGGGGTTAGATTACGCATTGAATAATTTTTAAATATAATAATATTTAATGTTCAAATCATTTCTTGATAATAACATTTAGTTCCCATAGTTATTAAATTTATTTTCTTTTTTAAATTTATGAATTCATTCTAAATTGTTAACATTTATATGTTAATAGAAATTAAATTGTTATTTGAGTTTAAATTATCTACCAGTTATATTTATTTGTTAAAGTTAATTTATTTTACATATAAATATTAAATCTATCATAAAATATCAATATAAGATATCAGTTTTAGCTAAATAAGTGTTTCTTTGATTAAGCTTTTGATGACGATTTTCTTATAAATTGATGTTACTCAATATATTTTAAAATTTTGTGCTGGAATTTATTCATAAAATATTAATTATTTTATAAAATTCACACATGTCTTAGCCTTACGTCCCTTAGGAATTCAATAAAGAGGATGAAGAATTAAAATGTCATCCATCTTAGAGTGGGTCGACTGCAACTCCAACACTATTTGAGAATACTAATACAGCAAAAGCTTTTAGTACAGCGTTTTTTGAAGATCAACTACATTAAGAAGGTTATTATAATTCCATATATCTTAATAGATGATCTATTTGATGAAATAAACTAATAATTAAACTAGGTGTTGATTAATGACACCTATAGACCTTCTCTTGTCTCAGCATTTTAAGCTGACATGTATTATTGAACTGAAAATCTAATAGGTCATCCTACCTAAGTCACGAGAAGTTGACCAAAAATTCCAGAAAAATGTAATTGGAGTACTAAAATGCCAATTTAAAAGAAAAAGAATATGTATTCAATACATATGTAAGAGCTGATATAGAAAATATAAGTTTGGATAAGTATAGGCATTTTTTGCTTGAGAAAATACTAGAAGTTGGTATCTATTAATAAAAATACTTTAAGGTCCTCCTTCTCATAAAAATGTAATACTTGATAGAATATTTTAATCAATAAATAAGTTAATAAAAGATCTATACGCTTGTAAAGTAATGTAAAAGGGATTAGAAATGATGATCTCACATCCTAATGATTCTCCTTATTAATTAGAGAATTACTTAAATTTCATCCACTCTGATACACCTTAAATGAAAAAAATTTATGTGGACAAAATTGCAAATCAAATTATTCAAAAAAGTCTTGAAGTTTTGGAAGGGAATCATTTATATAAACTTCTTTAAGTGGTTTCAAAATACGTATTATAATAACACAATTCATAGGTTCTCAACAACAACAATGAAAAATTCGAATTATCAACAGATTAATATGGATGCTTAATTGTGAATAAGATAATTGATATATATCCTAAATTATTCGATGCTTAAACAAAGACTTTATGCAATGAGATAATAACAAGAGCAATTGAAAATAGTTCTGGCCTGACTAGAAGATAATTTGCTAATTATATTATTTAATCAATATTGGAGAAAGGGTAAGAGGTTCATAAAAGATTGTTGATGGATCAGTATCTCATTAAAGATTTTATACCAATGTCTATGGATAAATACGGTAGCAATGTAGCAGAAAAAGCCATAGTTTATGGAGGTTCTTAATGGAGAACAAGGTTATGGGAAGAAGTAACAGTCTCAGAAAGGTAGTATCTATCCTTATGATTATAGTTCTTTTAAGAAATTGGTCAATGATTAGTTTGCAAATTATCCGATTCAAAGACTATTTGAATATTTAGATTAACCATTAAGACAGGAGTATTTGGCATTACTAAATAAATTTTCAGATAATAACTAATTAAATAATCATGGATAGATTGTGTTAAAGTTTGCATAAGCAAATTATAATGTTAAAAGATATACTTAAAAGATATTATAGACTGAAAAGAACAAGCAAATCAAAAATAGTTAGAAAAATTAAAATTAAAAATCATAAACTAAAAATTAAAATTTAACTAATAATCCTCAAAATTAGTAATAAATTGACAATGGATTTAAATAAATGTAATAAGAATAGTTTTAAGTTATGATGATGTAATAGATGATGTATTATTAATAATAATAACAGTTGTTATTGCAAAAACAGATGCCATAATTATATTATTAAGATTAAAATTATCTTCATTATGGAGCAATGAATTAAGAGTAATAAATGATGATGTTTCGTTGGTAATAATAATAATAGTAATAATAATAATAATAATAATAATAATATTATTTTAATCAAAATATGAACTAAAAGAATGGATAATGAACTGATAATCTATGTTAAATATAATATATATTTTAATTTAAACATTATATCCTTGAAATGCTACTTTTTTATACCTAAAATTATCTTTAAAATATTTAAGGATCATTTTTTTTAATCTAAATTATTCACATAAGAAATTGAGTTACTATTTTTTTTAATTAGATATTGCTTACAAATTAGATTGATCAGGAAGACTCTATGTATGTTTAATCTATAATTATTATTGAAATCTTTCCAAAGAAAATAAGATTATTGGAATTACAGAATTTCATAGATTGAGTATGAAATTGATTCTTTATTTCTTGAAAGCTGTGTCTTAATGCTCTTCGACCCTTAAACTAATAGGTTTTGAGAAAAAAAGATCATAAATATCATGTTCATTAGTTTTCAAGACAGGTCAATTTTTGCGCTTGTTATATTATTATTTAAAATTTAAATGAGTTAGGAGATTTCAAAAGAAATATTAGCACTCTCAATTCATGTTGCAGCAGCCACATCTGCGATTACAATACAAACTCAATAAAGAATGACTTTAGTGACAAATAGTGTATTAGAGACTGTGGGTTAAACAATGAAGATAATAAATTTCTTAATGTCTTGCTCTTAGAAACAGTCACACTTAGAAGCAGTTATAGAAGAACAAGAAGATGACGGCTAGAAGGATTCAAAAACAAAGGATTGTTTAAATGAATAGTTCTTCAAAACTGTATAAGCTGATTGTTTTAATGATGAAGTGATGGAAAATTAGAAGTAGAAAGAAAATTGTCCTACAGACATAATCTTGAGACAGGCAAGTGAGTTGAAAGGATAAAGTATATTGAAATCAAATAATATTTTCTCAGCAGAATATCCAAAATGCTATGTTAAGCAAGTTGAAAATTTAACACCAATTTAGATAAGAAAACCATCTTTATTGTCTTAGCAACTTTCCTAGATTAAGGTAGATAAATTGAAAGAAGCAGAGGAATAGAGAGAGTTAATGAAATTAATAGAATCTGTAGATCCCATAGAATTAATCCCGAAGTTAAAATCAATTGAAATTTATGATGAGTATAAACGATCATCAGGATATAAAGATATATTAGTATATTCAAACAAGCAATAGATAGTGATTAATGAGCAAGAGGAGGAATAATAGTTGATGGATTCTTCAAGCAAATCAGAGTGGTATGAGAATTCTTCAGTTGAATATCGTGCTACTTCTTATAATACAAATGAATCTTCAAATTTGGATCATCATTCATATAAATGGAAGAGTAGCAGTTTTGGAGATGATAATTTAATGTAAGAGTGTGGATTTCAATTTCAATCTTCAGTGTTCGATTTTCCATTTCCTGAAGATTTCTGTGCTGACAGTTAGAACATACATACTAACATATAAAATATTGAGAACAAGAATTAACACACTCCCAAAAAAAGGAGACTCTATTGTAACAATAAGAAAGTTCCTCATTGGGCTGAAAATTTAGAAGTAATAAATTAATTTAATATAATTAGAAAGTATCACTTCATTAGAATTAATAATAGAATTTATCTTAGAATTAAATATTTGGTAGAATGAAATAAAGGGTTCTAGATATTGCTAAGTAGTTTTCTTTCAATAGATTAAACAAAAGAGGCAGTTCAGCTTAGTGGCATATATCTAATGATAAGTATGAGTAGATGTAAAAGTAAATGATGAAGTTGCAATAAATATAAGATGAAAATATCGTAAAATTGAAGTAGCATTAAGAGGATGTATGATATATGTGTCTAACAAATTTCTAGTCTGTGTAAAAGAATTAAGGACTTTATGCTAAAACATAGTACTTTTTAACGAGCATCAAAAAAAAGATTCTGAATTCTTTTGAAAAAGAATACAAATACAAAAATGTTTGATAATTCTTTATATTATTATTAATGACTTATTCAATATTTATTTAAACTCCAGAAGGTAATCAACTCCATTTCAGAGGATCTGAATTTAGTGATATAAAGGTATTTGTCGGTCAGGAACTTGGAATTCCAGAAGATATACAAAAGTATCATATAGGTGGGAGACTGTTGTCAAATATTTCTCAATTGAGTGATTTATGTACTATAACACTGTTTTTGGGATTGCAAGGTAAGGAAATCATGATTATAATTAGGTGGTAAGGGAGGTTTTGGATCTTTATTGAAAAATTAAGCTTAAACTAGAAGAAAGATTATTAATTGGGATCAATCCAGGGATAGAGATGGCAGAAGGATTATTAATTCCAAGAATACAATCAATTTAATTAACTATTTCTAGAATAAAAAGGATGAGCCAACTAAAATTAAGAAGGAGAGGGATTAAGTTGAATTAACTTAAGCAACATTAAAAGCAAATGAAAGCAATATCAAATTGGATTAGGTTTACATTAGAAGAAACCAATAAAACGAAAAGAATATTGAGAATTCAATATAGTAGGCGAAGGGTAATTACAAGGCTAGGAAATAAGCAGAAAAAGTAAAGGAAAAAGTAGAACTTGATTTTTTGAATGAAATTGATTAATTTTTAGAAGATGAAAAATTAGAATAATAAGAAGAATAATTAAATAATACAGATGAACAAATGAATAAATCAGAAAGTGTTGGAACTGAAGAACCTGAAATATCAAAGAAAGTTAAAGTTTGAATTTGAATATTATCATAAATTATAAATTTCTAATTCCATAAATGAAGCATGTACTTATCAATATCACTTAAAGGTCACTTAAACAGAGTACGGTGGTCCACAAGTTCTAAAATTAGGGGAATCAGAAATACCAAAACCATTAGAGAACCAATCATTAGTAGAAATCAAATCAACATCAATAAACAGAGCAGACACTTTATAAAGATAAGGGCTTTATTCCATGCCAAAGGGAGTTACACCGATATTAGGGTTGGAATTTGCTGGTTATGAACTCGATGAAAATGGAAACAGAACAAGAAAAGTTATGAGTATCTTGCCAGGAGGTGGATATTCTTAATTTGCAGTAGTCAATAAAGATCATTTGATTGATGTTCCTGCTAACATCCCTTTAGAAATTGTAATGATATTGTAATATAATAGGCTGGAGGAATCTCTGAAGTTTATTTGACTGCTTATCTCTTGTACAAATTATCGGATTTAAGAAAGGGAGACTCGTGTTTAATTTATGCTGCAGCTTCAGGAGTTGGATAAGCTGCTTTGCAATTGGGCAACATCTTTGGAGTGAATACAATAGCTAGTTGTTCTAAAGGAAAGGTTGATGCTATTAAAAAATACACCAAGAACATTATCATAAGAGATGATACAATTGAAGAATAGTTCAAATAATTGCAGAATATTTGTCCATAAGGGGTGAATGCAGTATTTGATTGCATAGGAAAACAAAATTACAAATTAACTGTTGATAGTTTAGCAATTGATGGAAAATGGATTTTGTATGGTTTAATTACAGGAGGATTAGTTGAAAATTTCAATTTAGCCTCTTTATTGCATAAGAGAATAAGTTTAATCAATACCACTTTGAGGTAAATGTAAACAATACTTGAATAGGTCTCGACCTGATGAATTCAAGAAGAATTTGATAGAAGAATTTAACTAAAATGTTTTACCATATATTGCTAATGGAGCAATTGATATTCCAGTGGATTCTATAACAAAAATAAAATGGGATCAAAATGGAATTAATGAATTCATTAGATTACACACAGAAATGGAGTAGAATAAGAGTGCTGGAAAATAGATTGTAGCTTTCGAATGATTTCGTTGATCGTGATAGATTAATATTTTATTTTTATTGCATTTATGATAGATCTAATCATCTCCTTATAGCTAATAGTGCTAAGGACATTATTGATGACAATCCAAAAAACAATGAATATGCTTAATGAGTCTAGGGGGTAGGTAGAGGCTTATCAAAGTTGTCTTTGGTTGCAGGAATAGGATATAAGTTAGCTGATTCTTCGTCGTATTCCTATACTAATCTTTCAATGTATGCAGCTGAAGAATCAGTCTAATTTTATTATGAATCTTTACTAAATTGAATGATCTGTATAATCTAGACATGAACCATAAGTCGATGTAATTATAGACTCCTTCTCTTGGCCAATTTCTTCTTCCTTTTAATATGTCTTCCTCTTCTCCTTTTCTCACCATACCTACAAATTCTACAAATGGCATTTGATAATCTTCCTCCATATTGGCAATATTTCTATTGAAACCTGTCAATTAATCATCATCCTCATTATGAGGCACGTTATCATAGGTCTTATGGAATACAAATCATTGTACTGTTGTTCCAATAGGTTCCTAACCCATTTAGATATCACTAATGTTATCCTTGGGCACCCATCCTAAATTTACCATCACTTATGATTTGGTCGTTTATTCTGGATCCTGTTCAGTATCATTAAATTGCAATGCTGTTACGAATGGTGCAAACACAAGGAATCCATCTCTGCCTTCTCTTTCTCTTCTCACAAAAAATCTTTCATCCTTTCATAACAAACATCCCTTACTCTGAAATATCCATACAATTTCACTAATTTATACTCCCAATTTCTTATATTTTAAACCCATGGATATCTGCTTGCGTTCAGTCCATTTATACTAACAGGTTTCCATTCTGTAATTTCATTCTCAACTTTCTCATATAATTATTTTTGTTATCCTCCTTTCCATTAATGCCAAGCACAACCATAAGCACCTCCGAAGAACACACCATATGCCAATAGTTTGATTATTCCATTGCTTTATCTTTAAGCAAAAGAATTAAATACTTATGTTGAAAGCATTAATATTATTATAATATACCCAAATTTCATTTGACCAAACACATTTAGCAGCATTTTACATAATCCAGAATACTTCTCCATCATAACAAGAATATTGAGTAATTATAAAAGTCAGAAGACTATCCATCACTCCAAATTTACAAATCAAACCTTTTTGATTTTCTAGAGCTAATGAATACTTAGAATCTATAACTTATTTATAAGAATTATTATAAAATACTTAAACACTCCAAAGCATTCTCACAAAAAGATTAATGATCTATAGAAGATAGATAAAATTAGTTAATTTCACTAGAAAATTTTGATTAGTTTAAGAATATTGTTAAAGGTTAGAAATTTTAAGGCGTGACAATTAATTTTGATTTAGCTTAAGTTCTCAGTAGAATACATGATGTTATTATATCAATTTATGCTTTCCCTACAATTAATAACTTATAAAGAACCCAGTTTTTTAACAATTTTATAACTTCTATGGTCATCCTAGAATGTGATGACATAAATGTGTAATATATTTACATAATGGATGATACTTCATTATTCGAATATTAATATAAAGATGTAAAATAAACCATCATTTTCTTAAAGTTTGATACCTTTAGTTTGTCTAGACATTGGTGGAACATTGACAAAAATGACTTTTGCAGCCAAGAAAGATTTCATTATAAATTGCCAAACAAAATAAGAACTTAAAAGTATGAGATTTGAGATTTTTATTCATAGTCTAAAATGAGAATGAAGATTACGAGATTCATTTTCTATCTCATCCTAATTCATTGGATGTACTAATACAACACTTAGAAGAAATAGGCTTTATAGTAGATGGAAAATCACATATCTAAACATTTTATATCACAGGTGGAGGTTCATTTAAGTATTATGATTAAATTTCAAATTACGGAAACATTGTCAGAATCAATGAATTCGATGCTCTAAAGTTCGGATTCAAATTATTGGACAGCATCAAATACAAAAATACATACTTTACCTTTAATAATGGTATTGAGTATTTGTAATTGACGGTATTTTTAATTAAAATAAATTTTAGGCATCAATTTATCCGTTCATATTGGTAAATATAGGAAGTGGAGTTAGTATATTAAAGTTCGATAATGATGAATAATTTGCTCGAATCTCAGGCACTTGTTTAGGAGGTGGTATGTTTTTAGGATTGAGTCATCTATTTACTGGCATTAATGATTTTGATGAATTATTGAAAATGACTAAAAAAGGATCGAATGCAGCAACAGATTTATTAATTGATGAAGTTCATTTGGGATTCTAATCTCCAACAAGAGATAAAAATGAAAAGCATGTAGCTGTCAGTATGGGAAAATTGAAGTAGAATTCGAATCTTAATTAATCAGATCTAGTCAAATCTTTACTCTATATGACTACATATAATATTAGTTAAATAGCATTCCTACATTCAAAACTACATAATATTGAAAGAGTGTTCTTTTCAGGGCACTTTATTAGAAATCATGAAGAAACATTGTAATGTATAAGTGAAGCTTTCTCCTATTTCTCAAAATTAGATTAGTAAAATAGACATGTATGAACATAATTCTATTATAGCCATATTTTATCAAACATGATGGATTCATTGGAAGTTTGGGATCATTTTGGAATGGAATTCAAACATATAAATAAAACAACCATTGATTTATTAATAATTATCCATATTATTGAATTACTATTAAAAATGAAACTCTACATTTTACATACATAAATATACAAACAATATAAATTTTATTTTAATTGATGTTACTATAATTCTTATTATTAATAACAGAAGTGCAATCAATAAGTTTGAAATTCAAGATACCTCCTGGACATTAATAGTGTATAAAGGATAATGTTGCATAAAATACTCTCATTTATGGATAATATGAATCATCCACATTATTATATATTTTTACTTTGAATGTATGAAACAAATAAATACTCTTATAGGTAATCAATTAACAAGAAATTGAAAATACAATAATTGAGTACTCAAGTCAGGCAGTATCACAATTCCATCATGTAATGTAAGAATCGGGAGAGATTTCTATGTGTTTTGAAGTGGATGATTATTCTGACATTGCAACTTTTCATCTATTTTATGAAAGTGGTAGAATATTCATTATTATTCTGAGGTGCTGAAATCTATGATCAAGATTAATTACCTAAAAAGCAACATGTTTAAAATATTAATGAGACATTGGAATAGATGGAATAATTGTAATAAGAAATTTCTAGAGAATAATTATTAATTGTAGATAGAGAACACATAAGAAAAATATCTTTTGTAGATTTTTAATAACAAATTGTTGAATTTACAGCCATAACCTTAAGTATACTCATTATTGTAGCTGTTTTATAAGCCATTTATATCAGAAGATATGCAAAATATAAAAAGTTATCTTGATTAGTTTATGAATATATTTATTTATATTAATTATCTTTCAATTAAATAAATAATTACTTCTTTTTATTATTTATTGTATAGGATGGGAATTAAATTAATATAGATCTAATTACAATTAATTAAATTGTTCATTAATATGAAAACATATTTAATCAACTCTTTTACTAGAATTGTTTTTAAGATTTTTAAATATTATTAAATAATTAAATAATAATATAATAATCAACAGGAAATGGATGGATTATTTTTGTAATATTAATTACTTACTTTGTTATATTTTAAATTCGATGAACTCCTTTCTGGAACCTTTTAACTTAGTTCAGTTTGTTCTAGCTTTTTTAAAGTATGTTATTGTGATTTTGTTCTGGAATTGAATGATTTCTCAAAAAATTGATCTAAAATTAATGATATTCTTATAACCTATATGATATAAGTGTTATTTGCTTGATTGAGCATTAGTTAATTCTTCGCTTGTCTTGTTAACAAATGATAGATTTTTCCTTTATTTAGTATCCTTCTAAAGATTAATAATTTAGTTTTTATTGCTAAAAGTACTAATGCTTTAATGATCATAATCTGTTAATTCTGTGTGATATCTATTATTCAATTTGAGATGGGGAACTTTTAGTTTCTTATCATTTGTGACATTCTAATCAGGATTCTTATTGAGTTATTAAGTGTGTTAAGCTAATTACATTTGTAATTTCATAATCTCTATTTCTTCATTTATTTTTGAGTTCTTACTAATTTATTTAACTAGTATAAATTTATGATTGTTGATTTCCTATGATATAAAATAATTATATTACTTATTCAAGATCTTTGACTTTCTATTTTAACTCTTGGTTTTGGTGTTTCAAATCTATACATAATTTATTGAGAACTTGACATTCATCTCTAAAAAAAATCAATTTATTTTAAGTTTTGACTACCTAACAAAAATTTACTAAATTTCTTACTTCTGTCTCATTTTCATGATAGGTTATATATTCATCAAATTTTTATTGCAAATTCTTAAAATCTGTAGACATTTGTTCAACAACCAATTTAAATGCCTTATAAAAGCTATTTTACTGACTTTACAATAGGCTTGAGAACTTAGAATTAGAATTGATCATCAAAACTTCCATCTCCTTACAAATATCCTTTAATTTCCTAGCGACATTACTATCTAATGAATCATAAGTAAGTTGAGGTCCTGTTAGATAAAGTGTTGACATATTATAATTTTATTATTTACAAAATAAATATAATTAATTCAAGATGATAAGGTTTACTAATTTTCTAATTTTTTAAGAAACTTAGACCTATTATGAAGATGAATAGTAAGTCCTTGCTTTTAAAAGTTGTTGAAAATCTACTAAAACCTTTATATGTCCAATCTCTCTGAGGTATTTAAAAGTTCTAAAATAGATTTTTAATTTACTTTAAGAAATAGGCGGTTTCATCCCATTTTGCTTGTAACAATTCAGTAAGTATCGATCAAATTTTTATTGATTTACGATTTCATTATGTAGGTATTGGCAACGTAAACCATAAGGACAGAATCCTTCATTGAAGTATCGAACACAAGCTTTGGTCTTATAATTTTGATGTAAATGAATTTTAGGTTATAATTCTCTTTCACCATGTGCAAAGGAACACTATTAAGAATATTAAATGTATAATACTTCATCTCCAAATTTACAATATCCCAAAGCTTAATAATTTTTACATAGTTCTGTTTTCTTTTTCTTAGTATACTCTTCAATATATTGTTTTTTTTGTTCAATAGTTTCAAATCTCTTTTTTTTAGGTTTAACACTTAAGTTATTAATTCAATATTACTCAATTTCAAAGAAAGTCTCATCGTCCTTTTCATCTGTGCTGGTACTCTTTTCATCCCAGTCTTCTTTTACACATTGATTACTACAAATGCTCATTAACTATAATAATTTATTATTCTAAAACTGTTCATTAATTAAACTGAAAAATAGAAATTTAATAAAACTGAATTTATTATAAAATATAATATATATATTGAATGTAAAAATATCCTCATTTAACACTGGTTTTAGGTCTAATCAATTGTTATGGGAAATGTTGTTGATATTCTCTTTATGTTAATTATCTGTTTTCATCAATTAAAGAAACCTACTCTTCTGGGAATTAATAGAAATATGGATTTAGCTATTGCTTAATTTAGTTAGAATCTGAAAATAATATAGTAGTTTTATTAAATATATTCTTTTTAATATCTTGGAATGTTTGATTAATGTTACCCTAAATCTAATATTAAATAAGTACTTGATATATCAATCTATTATTTATATAGATATGAACTTGCTTTACTCCTCTTTGCCAATCCTTTGTATAATTATAAAAATCTATTCCACTGAAACAAGTAAGTTTATCGAACAACACATATATCTTATTGATGTCCTGTCTCTCCAAATCTCTTGCTTTTTAGATTATGATGGCATTTTTATTTTTTAGTTTCTCCATTGGAGTGTTTATGAAAGGAGCCAAGAAGCTTCTCTAAGGTTAACAAGTGGTATCATGAGGAGGAATCACTAAATTCTAGACTACTCTTGGGTCATCTTCCAACTTGAATTATATTAGGATTTAATTACTTGAGGAACTGAGTGAATTGTATAAGGAATTATTTTTCTTGATAATAAGGCAGAACCTTAATGATCATAAATCTCTAATCCATTTAAACCGATATAATTGTTATCTCCCCAAGTATTAAACAAATAAATAGTGACTAGCATCCCACAAGGAGGATATGCTATTATGTAATTTTAGTTAAATAATTCATAATTAGACACCAAATTTCCAGTATAAGAATTATTATTAGGTTAAGTCAGAGTAATTGTTTAAACAAAATTAATTTCTTCACATGGAGCAGGTCTTAAATCTATTGATATAATAAATAATTACTAAATATTTTGAATCTCCCATTATAAGTAATTTTGACTATTTCTGGTCCAGCAAATGTTGATTCACTTATGATTTGATTGCAATTGTAAAATTTAATCATAGACAATTTTGTCAATTGTTTAAATTTGAAATAAATTTTCTTTTGTTTTAGCCAAACCATATTTGATGAATCAACTAGAGTAGGATTATTAGAATAGAATAGTCGTTGTATGTCATAATCAGTTAAATTAGAATCCAAAATATCTTCTTAATAAATCTGTTAATTTCTGTCATCAATCAACATTAGCCCATTAAGTCCTAGAAATCTCTTTGATCCATTATTAAACTCCAATAAGATATCAGAAACAGTAAGGTATTCTGGATATTGCATTTATACCTTTTCTTATTTATTTGAAGTCCTCTAAATATATTACTCCTTATATTATTGTTGTTGTCTTTAAATCTAGAGTGCTTACTGCTATTGATCATTATTTTATAGCTAATATAGTCTGGATGAATATAATTTTGATGAAGGAGATTATTCATTTTATTACTATCTTGTATTCTATGACTATAATTTAGTACCAGTGTTCGGTCTAATTTATTACATACTCATAGTCTATTATAGAATCTAGATAGAATAATCTTCAGCTCTTTTGTTCAGCCAATCTAATTCAGCTATTCTATTAATTATTTTATTGTCCTATGTAAATAATATGTATTCACAATTATCTTAGAACTTTTTTAGATCTCCTGTTGCTTTCTGGATGTCTCCATAAAATATCTAACTAAAATATTACATAAATAGTTTACTAATCTCTCATCTAATGTTATCTTTAATAATCTAACACCTTTATAAGATCTTATCCTTGACTTATTGTAATTCCAAATTCTTATCAAAGATATTTTGATGTTTGCAGTCAAATCAATAATGATTTCTGGTTTTAAATTCTTTGTTTTCCAAATATGTTTATCATCTTTAACAGCTTAGTAACCGTCAATCAATTTCAATTTCTCTATGTATTCATCTTGCATAGGCATTTTAATATATCTAGTGATATTGCCTCCTTGTGAGTCAAAGACTTCAATTCCATTTAGACCAACTTGTTATTTATCTCCCCAATTTGATAGAACATTAAATTTGAGATATTTACCTGATGGCAAAACAGGAATTTCAAATCTATTTCCAACTATACTCTGCTCGATTTGATGTTAATTGTTTTTTATTCTCCTTTGACTATCGAAAATATTATGAACTTTTGGATGAGATTTCATCTTTGAATCATTGAAACTCATTCTTTCTGGTTATTAAATCACATTAGCATTCTCGTTGAAACTCATATGTCCTTATTGTTAATACATTTGGAATCCCTGCTGTAATATTTGTAGGGCATGTTCTTTAGATTAAGGCTTTAATAATTATTGTTACATAATAAAATATTAATAAATAATAATGTTTATTAATAATAAAACGCCTAATACTATTACTTAATCGTAACCAGATTTACAAGAATATTAGGATTTCTTTAATCATGAGGATCCCCGTAGGAATCGGAGTGTTACACTCTATGATAGACATAAAAAGGACAACTCAAATCATGATCAAAAACTCTAATTATCATCAAATTTATAGAATTTATCATTAACCAAAACTACCTACAATAATTTAAAGACTATTTATCAATTTACAAAAAAGTATTACAGTTATTTTCTATTTTGAAGAACTCTAACATAAATTAATTAAAAATAAGAGATAACTCTTAGTTAAAATTTTGTCACTTCAATCAAAGAATCAAATTTATTTATGTATAATGTAGCCCAAAAAATTTCAACATTTATCAAAACTGATAAAATAGCTGTAGTACCACCTCACAAGATAATTGGGAATTGGATGTAATAATTGAAATCCAAATGCCTTAAAAAAAAATCCCCTTAAAATTCACAGTATCCCAATAACAATACTGGGTAAAGGGATGAAGATGATGATCTTATTATAATATGAATTTTGTTATATTCAAATCATTAGGCTTATTATTTTTACGATTACTATGAAAACAGATGATAATCTGAAGAAAGAGAATTAAATGAATTATTTAGGATTGCCTACAACTATTCATAATTTCCTTTAAAATTGTCAAAATCTGGTAAATATTTTAAAAAAATATAACTAATTTTATACATTTTAATATTTTACTGTGTGTATTGAAATGCTAATATGTCTTTCTCTTCATTTTTAGATAAACTTACTTCTCCAAACATCTACCTTTTGTTAATAAAATACTTTCTTTTGCTTCACATAAATAGTAAGTCGATTTGCAATATTTTCATAGTTTTTTCTTAAAGTCGATTTATCCGCTGATTATTTTAAACAATGCAAAGCATCTGAATAGGAGGACAAAAAGACTCGTAGATCGTATTCACTTTAATTCAAAAACATTTAATAAATAATAAATAATAATAAACCATAATTATAAAATACTTCATTTTTTTGATATATTTATATTATTCAGATCATAAAGCTATCATGATGATTAATAGTTATCCCTGTCTGAAAAGATAGATGCTGAAATTTAGTGTATTTTCTCTGACTTATATCAATTTTTATTAATCATATTCATATATATTCTTAGACTATTATTATATATATATATGTTTCTAAATCACAAAAACCTTAATATTTCTAATTATATCATTGAATGCAATCTGAAATTAATGAGATTTTCTATATTTTTGTATTCTAAAAATTTACAAGATGTGATTTTGTGGAGGAAATTCAATTATTTGTATCAAGAGAAAATCGAACATTTATTATTTTAATAAATTGCATAAAAATGAAAAGCGAATATATTTTGTAAATTAAATTTGATAAGGCAAATAATACGTTTAAGCCTGGAGTATGATTTATTTTTGAAATAGGACTAAATTTCAGGAGGAGTTACTGTTTTATTTACAGATCCAATAATGAAGAGACTTGAAATATAATAATTTATATGGAAATCAGAAGGGACTATAATATCTTAAAATAAAGAAACACACAAAGATTTAGAGAGGATGTCAAGTCAGCTTCACCCAGTTCTATTACATCAATTAGATGGTCAATTGACAAAGGATAAATATATGTAGAATCCAATTAATTTATATAATATAGATTGTAAGAGAAAAATACTTTTCCATTCAAATATCAATTAACTCCATACCAAGACAGGAAGATCTTGGAAACCTACGTTGGTGTTTATATTGCAATACAATATTCGATTGAGGCAGAATTAACTTTGTCAAATGGATTAAAAGTTACTTCAACAATTCCATACTTTGTATATGTACCTGGACAAGGGAATGACAGAATCAAACCAACAGATAAATATCCACGAGTTGAGCATTTTTTGATAACACCTGATAAATTGCTAGGAAATTCAAGCACAATGAATAAATCATAAAATGCAAAATTTCGAATAAATGGGCTGATAGACACAACTATTTGTTTATTTTAAGAGGATTTCCACGGATCTTTAATAATCGAGGAATGTGATTCTGACATAAGAACTATTGATTTATAGTTAATAAGAGTAGAGAAATTAGAAAATAACTTAGGCAAAATAAGTGAGGCCACAGAAATCTAGTTGATATAAATAATTGAAGGGAATGCAACAAGAGGATTAGAGATACCATTTCATATGATATTTCCAAAATTCTTTTCATGTCCAAATTTTCAATTTAGAGAATTTAGTGGTAAAGAGATGTTACATTAATTTAGTCGATTTTGAGGTGAATTTAGTTATGATTTTATTCGATGGATTCAAAGTGACATTAAACTTCCCAATAAACATTATTAGAAAATGATTATTTTATCAAATCATAATTATATATATATAAATAATTAAGATGTCTAAAGCAGATGCCAAAAATCTGAAAGAGGAAATAAAAAAGTTGTATGACCCACTGTTATTTTATTAACATGGAGATAATCCAGCTTATAAGAGATATATTGAAATAATGTAAGAAAATGCATAAGAGGGTAAACAAATAGATCCAAGAACATATTTTGTAAATAAATTACAGAGGTAATATTTGCTATTTATTGTATTCAGAATTCACGTGGCAAGAAACATTCAAGATTTCGTTGAGAGAGATCTGAAATGCTTCAATTTCATTCGAATCTTCCCTGTTTGGATATGCACTACTGGATTCTTTTTATAAGGTATATATTGAATGTGAATATTAACAAGCTGCCTTAACTTAGAGATAAATGTTTTTGCCTATTGGATAAAGGGGTATAACAAGTATCAAATAAACTTCATTCTTTTACAAGTATGTGAATGTGAATCATTAATATTAGCTTTGGATATGTGGGTTTGGCAGGATATGGCCTGTATTTATTCGGAGCATCTTATCTATGGTGGTAGGTTACAAAAATGACTGCAGTTAAGTTTTATAAACACTGTTTACTTGGAGAAAGATAATGGTCATATGAGAGGGAGAGACAAAACAATACTTATGGCAACTACTATTTCAAGGATGTACCCTTGTCATGCGAAGAGAACTTCCCAGATTTAGCAAGAGGAGAAATAGCAAAGAAGCAAAGACCCAAGCCAGAGTGGTGATAAAAATACATTCATAATTATACAAAATATCTATTATAATGATTCTATTCTAAAAGAACAACAGACTTCAATTATTTCCAAGTCATAATTAAATAATAATAATAATAATAATAATAATAATTTTAGTTAAATTTATGGATTTATTCGAAATTTAACCAGAATCAGATCTACAGAAAACGTTTCATTAATAATTTCATAAAAGGGTTTCAATTTAGGATAATTAACACAATTACAAAATCTTTGGATTCAATAAATGCTTTACAAAAAGTAAACTAATTGAAACTATAAGGATGTAAAAGTCTATTTAAGAATTTTGCAATACCATTTCAATAAACAGATCAATTTGATAATTAATAGTTAATTTCTAGTTGCGAATGTTTAGACTGTGGTGGCAAGATGAATAAGAAAATTCTGGTTTGCAAAAAGGAGTTAATAGACCCACAATAATCTTACATTAAATCTAGATTACCAGCTTCACCTTAATTGTCAATATAGCCATAAAATGTTAGACCATCTAATCGAGATTTAAGTTTGATCGGGTCTTCAGCTCATTTTAGTATCATTTTTATTAATTTTTATGTGATAAGCATTCTAAATAGACTATTTAAAAAAGTAATCGGGTATCCATTTTGCCAGTTATTCAATTGATACAAGCACAAAATTTAATGAAAAAAATTAGTACAACTCACAAAATTGAAAAGGAGGCTAAATCTAAAATGAGCATATCAACTCACAGTCTATTTAATAAGGTTCAATAGAAGATGATTATTAATAAGGATAGTGATACTGATAAATTAAGATCTGTATTAGAAATAGATAATAATAAATAAAAAAAGGAAGAAACTCATAAATAACACAAATAAACTCCAAATTATGGCTAATTTCGAATTAAAACTGAAAGTGCCAACTACTATTTTGCTTCAATTAAATAAAAGAAATCTCCAGTTAATATTCCTCATCTATGTTTGGATGAGAATAAAAAGAAAAGTCTAAGTATTTTAGAATCAAAAACACCAAGACTTTTATTGGCAAGAAGTGAAAAATATAATTAAAAACAACCTTTAACCTAAAGACTTATGTGTACATATCTAAAAAAAGAAAATACCAACTCTAAATTAATAAAAAGTAGTAACAAAACTTGAATATATTTTGATATCTATATGGTTGAATAATAATATTGTGTTTAATATATATATTAATCTCTTCTTCATATCTTCTATAGTTCTTGGACACTGGGCACATAGAAATAATTTCCATATGAGTTACTACAATAAAAAAGACATAATACATGGACATCTTCATTATTTGATCGTTGATTCCATCTCCTTTTCCTGTCATTCTATCGAGCATAGTGTTAAAGTTAGTTAAATCTTTGGCATAAGCAATAAAGAGTAAGCCATGATCTCCTGTAACAGTACCAAATGGTTGAGACTATCTGACAATCAATAATCTCTTATTATCCTCACTTCTTGTTCTAGTAACATGACTGTCAATAGGGAGGGGTCTCAACTCAAACGAGTTTGACTTCTTTCTTCCCACCATTTTCTCTTAATCTTCTTCAGTAACTTTGTCTAACCAATCTAATTTATGATGCCAAATTTGATGGATCATATAGCTGCCTCCTCTTTCGTTTACAGCAACTTTCTCTCTTTGTTGCTTAAGACTTGGGTTCATGGTGCCATCTAAAAATCCACTCATGTCCCTTCCATCCTAATATTTATATCCATATCTTTCAGATACTACACGATAAGATCCTTTTGGTAAACTTTTTACTACTTTCTAAAATGTGAATATCATATCTAGAATACCTATATAGTTTCAAATGCTAGGGATCTATTTTGAGCCTTAACATGTACAATCACATTTCCTTTACCATATGGCATTGATCCATAATCACCAGCTCTGGCTTCATAATCAGCTTAGGGAGTCCTTGTTAATTTTTCCCAAAACTTGGTTTAAAATCCAACACCCACAGTGACAGGATCAAGTTCATCTAGTTAATATTAATGATTAATACCATCCTCATTGGATTTTTTCTGAATGAGTTTTGGTACTTCTTTTAGAGCATTTAAGGCTTCATGTTATAGATTAGCATCTCCTTCAATCAATTCTAAAACGAGTACACAACAGAATTCATTGACATCTGAGACTACTGTGCTTTGGAACTCATCCAATCTTAGAGCTTATTTCCATGTAAGACCTGCGAATAGGGTTCCTAGAGCAACTGATTTAACAACATTAGGCTTAAATTTATATAGTTAAGTGAATGGTAATCGTTTTAAAATGGTAGGAATTCCGAATCTTGCCAATCTCATTATAATTTAATTAACAATTTTTATGCAATAATATCTGATTTATTAATGACACATTTTAATTAATATTTTTGTGAAGTTTTCTCATTTTAGAAAAATGACAGATAGAATTCTTTTTTGTTGCATTTCTCATCTAAATAACAGATAAGAGTTAAGTTTTTTAGTTATATTTTGTTGTATACAAAAATTAAGCTTGAATTGTGATAATTTTATATTTAAAGTTTATTAATGTTATATAGGATTATTGAAAAGATATACAAACAAATTCCTTTGAAGTATTAGTAACGATTAAAGGATTTGGAATTAGAAAATCTACAAAATATGAGAGTAATCAATTTTAAATATATAGATCGAAATTACAAATGGTATTGTTTAAAAAACCTTTAATTATGAAGTTTTGACAAATCGAATTCAATTAATCTAAGTATTTCTTATTTTTAACTAGACATCAACAGTAATTAAGGAATTAATTCGAATTTTATTCAAATTAGAAACTCTTCCAATATATCCTTTAATATATTTGATTTTATTGCCAGATAAGTTGAATTCAGAATTGTACATCATAATATATACAATACTTTGTCTAATTCTTGATTTATTAATCTCGTTTCTTTTGCTTTTTTATGTATTGAAAGAAAGATGGAAATTTGAGGAAACCATTAATAAATAAGAATGTCGAATACTATCTCCAATTGATCAATTGTTATAAACCTAAAACTAATAACCCTCATAAAAGATAGAATGGCAAAAATTGAAAGTTGGACAAATTGTGTGTCTATTAAAAGGTGAAATGAGTCCTGCAAATATTTTAATATTGGAATCAAGTCAATAATAGGTCTTAGCTGATTATATCACCAAATATCCTTGTCCATGTACATTTGTCAATCAGGCATCTAAAACTAAAGGAATAATGACGAAATTCTTAATTAATCTAAGTGGCTGGATTCAATTTTCAACTTCTCATAGAGGTACAATAAAGTTAAAGAATGATCCTAAGGCTACTCAATTTACAGATGAAAATGTGATTTATAGAGGTTAAATATTAAATTAGACAGATTGGATTTTTGGAATTGCCATCTAAGTGGGACATGGTTGTTTTCAATAAAGAGATAGGTTTTATAATTGGAATCATTATAATTAGAATAGCTTCTTTATATTTTTAATAACTCTCTTGATATTCATTATCCTCATAATTCCAAAATTAATTTATGTATCTAATTTTGATATTGCCTCATACTCTAATGCTATTATAATCTGTCTTTTACTTTTTCCATAAAACTATTTCCTTATCAATTAAGTTTGGCTTTTAATCCAATCAATATAAACAAGACTTTTTTAAAGTAAATAATCAAAAAATTTTACATCTAATATTTAATAGCAAGGATAAACCAAAACAGATCCCATCCTCTAAGAATATGAAAAAAAAGTACTTGTGCAATTATAAAAAATTGCATCTGCTAATACCTCCCTTGCAAGTATTCCATAAGTTAAAAAAAACCCAAATAAAGATTTAATTTATCTATTTCATTAATTAAGTAACCAGGCTATTTTTGAATTCATCAAAACTGATGTTGTTGTTTTTGAAAATCCATAGAAACTGTTGAAGAAAAATGTAAGAGTTTGCATGCTTTTCCATGATAAATGTAAATATTACTTCAATTATGAGAAATTGTAAGCCATAATTGAAAAAACAACTCCAACATAAAAAATTAATTATGAAAAATTATTACTTGATACAAATAGATTTTCTGCTTATGATGAATAAAAAACTTAAGACATAGATCTATTATTAGCAGAAAAACAATAACCTACATTAAGAGTAATTGATGAGAAGAAATCTTTTCAAAAAATTGGGTTCTTAAAAGATCAATCCAAAGCTAGCCAAGCATAAAAAGAGATGAAGGACTCCAAAGATTTAAAAAAATCAGGAGGAGATCAAAAGATTAATCCTTACAGTTCCTTCAGAAAACAAACTGCAAGGAATCTATTTTAATCTAATATTTAACCCTAGCAATAACAAAAGGAATAGCACTATTAATAACAACCTGCTAACAATGGCAGCTTTATGTCATACTAAAATTCTCCTAAATTATAACGTTAGAAAAGCAACTCTCACATATCATAGGCTAATGTTTTATCTAATCAGAAGTCTGTTACTGGATCTTTAAAGAACATTACTCCAACTCAATAGGATCAAAGCAGTGATTAGATTGTTGGGGACATATACAGTGAATAAGATTTCATCAATAAACTCTTAAATAAATCAGATGTTGTATCAAATGAAATTCTGATTATGCTTTTATTATGCAATAATGTAGAAAGTGTGTATGACAAAGAAGAGAAAAAGATAGAAAATATATATAAAAATTCATTTGACAAATCAATCTTAGACTTTGTAAAAATATTTGATTATAAATTTATATCTAGTGCTGTTATAGATAATTATAAGATCGAATATAAACAAGATAAGATTACCAAAAAAGCTATTTCTATTTAAGGAGTGATTAAGGTTTTTGATATCATCGCTACTCTTCATCCTACTGAAAATAGATCTGAAACTCTAACAATTTTAGTTAAAGATCCTGAATCTTTTGAATTAGAAGAAGGAGTGTTATTGTACACCAGAATAGTTGCTAATGATTCAAATTCTAAAGATGAAAGATATCCATACATTAATGATATTATTGATGATATGTTTTGGGATGGTCAAAAATCCATTAAATATTATAAAAAACAATTAGATTCCTAATAAACTGAATAGTTTTTAACTAAACTCAATTCAATTAATGAAACCTATGGTAACAGAGAATAAGAACTAGATTTATTATATTAGTAGATTGAAAGTGAAAGCGAGTTGTTATTTATTATTGGTTTGAAATAATTCATCCCTCTTAAAAATTAATTAGTATCTTAAGAAATAACTAATAAATATCTAAATCATGATAAATTGTTCAGGACTCTTTTAAAGTATAATTATAAATCATGTTTTTTAATGGATAAATATGAAGATTTAATTTCATTTTTGCGAACCTATCATGTTGCAGAAAAAAAGACAATTGAGCATTTTATTGAACCCAATACTATTCAGTTTAAATTTAGGTAGTTTATATAAAATATTGTTGAAAAATAGAATATCTTTGAGGTTTATTAGTAGAAAATAGTGGATAACTTTTTAATTATAAATGATCAAACTTTGGAAGCAATTGTCAAAGATGATTATTTAAAGTATCACTTTGTTGTTCTTTTTTATTTTTCATCTGGAGTTGGAGCATATGGACTAGATGAAAAACAAAAGGGGAAATTCTTAAAGTTATTATAAATAACAGAAAGATATATCACTTCTATTGGCTCTGCATTAGACAATTAATACTTCTTCTACAAATCTAACTACTCGTTTAATGTTTTACAATAGGATCCATAATGTACCTTATCAAATCCGAATTTCTTGATATAAAAAGTTGATCAATTGTTTAAGTTACTCTTTTATTATTGCCCAGCAACCTATCTAAATTATGAATCCATCATTTTAATCTAAATATACAGGAGTTTTCTTTTCGGATTTACTTCTTACATTATAGATTACTAAAATAATTTCGGTGCTTTAGATGAATTGATATTATTTTATTTAATTCCAAGCAATATCGTAACTTGTTTACTGAATTATGAAACTTTTATTACTCAAAGAAAATTTGATAATAATAATTTTGAAATATATAGAAAAACATTAGAATTAATTAAATAATAGAATATTTACATCAAAATACTAAAGATAATCTTTGTGGCATTATTAGATTCAATTTTAGTTGAAATATGTTTTAATATATTTGACACAGATTAAACATAAGAAATTCAAAATTATTCGGTCTTCATTTACTTAATAATAGAGATCGTTGAAAAATAGAAATATCTTATATCATTTTTTAATTCTTCATATGAGAATGTTAAAATGTTAAAATTGATTTTTTCATTCATCATTTTGATATTTCTATTAATATTGGTATATGCATTAATAACCATAGACATTTTATATCAATTCTCATATTTGAATTTTACATACTGGATTTTTGGATTGATTTTCTCGGTAGTAATTTCCTTCATCTTTTAAGAAGTATTAATATTGACTGAATTTAATCTATCTTGCCCTTATGACATAAGTTTTCATTCTGAATATTAAGTAGAAATAGAGAAGATTAACTCAGCATTAAGATATTTGGATGTTAATGTCAGTAATCGAAATTAACCAAAGAAATTCATAGAGAGGTTATTTTAAGGTAAGGACTTTATGGATGATTTATTGGTAAAAAAGATAAAAGGAGATTAATAAATGACTGATTAGATGGAGAAAGACTTAAAATTTACAGACAAGAGAACTGAAAAGGATTTTTAAAACTCTTTAAAGCCTTAAAAGTACTATATCTATTTAATCTATGAAATTGCCATTTTTGGAATACGACTTTATTAATAAATAAACAATCTCAACATTTCATATTTAGTAATTTCTATCATCTAATTTGTATCAATGACTTTGATTCCCTTAGTAAAAGTATCAAAATATTAACCAATCTTTCTATTGTGTTTGAGATTTATATTCTTTGTTATTTTACATGGTTTGATGGATACAAAATTAATAGAAACATAGATGTTTATAATCGGTTTTTCTTTGAGTCATCATCCATTGTTGGGCATCTATGGATATTACTGTGTTTGCACAATAGCATTAATTTTAGATATAGTGATGGTAGGAGTATTTAATGAAGGGAATCCTTTTTATATTTTGAATCATGGGTTAATAATCATAGAAATGTGTCTACCTCTGGCATTTTAGATATACAAAACCGAATTTCTGTAGAGATACCAATATATCTTATAAAACAAGCTTTTAGATGAATATAAGAAGTTGAATGATGCTTTGGGATTGTTGATGCCAAGATTCATAAAGGAAAGGATGTCAAAAGGGTAAATATAGATATCAGAAGATTAAGGAGATGTTGCAATATTATTTTGTGATATTTATGAATTTGATGATATAATTAAGAACGAATAAATCAGAGTTGTGGATTTCTTGGATAATTTATATCGTTAATTTGACTAATTTTGTTAAGCAAATGAATTATAAAAGATAGAAACAGTTGGTAAAACATATATGGCTGCAGGGGGATTAAAAGATTACAATATATCTGATAATCTTAATCCTACAGAGAGAATCTTGGATACTGCTATGCAAATGTAGGAAAGTGTGAAAACTATGAAATATGGAGATAATAAAGCAGTCATATTAAAAATAGGAATCCATTATGGGAGAGTCATAGCTGGTGTGATTGGTGCTCATAAACCTTAATTTTCACTTATAGGAGATACTGTAAACACTACTAGTCGAGTGTGTTCTACATCAGAACCTGGAATCATTACTCTTAGTTAACAAGCATACGAAAAGGTGAATAATTAGAAAAATCAATTCAAATTAAGAGAAGTTGAAGCCAAAGGTAAAGGAACTATAAATACCTATCAATTAGTTAAAACAAGTAAGAAAAAGTAATAAACAACTATTAAGATGGCAGATGATGTAGCCAAATCACCAAACTGTCATACTCCAAACCAAATGTTTAAAAAGATCTAAGAAAATCTGTATACTAAAAAAAAAACTATGTTAAAAAAGGTGTCTTTTAGTGAGGAAAGACAAGATTTTGGCAATCCTTTAACAATTCAAAATACAATTGCTAATGGGAAATTGACTACGAATTTGGCTCCTTTAGCTGTATAACCTCTAATTAGAGCTAGCTCAAGATCGATCTTTAATTCATCTTATTAAATGGGTCTTAATCTCAATAATGAATAAGAATAAGAAATTAATAATCTAAATGTCATGAATAACAATAATATTCTCAATAATACAGTTAATAATACTCTAAAAGATGACAGAGACAAAATTAAAGTAGAACCAACCAATATTAATAATATTTAAGGAGATGGATTAAAATCAAGCATTCCTTTAGGAGGTTATGGAGCCTCAGGAGCATACAGCAAAAGAGTGTCTAATTTGGCTATGGAATTACATCCTATGAAATCAAGAAAATCTGTTTATAAGAGGGCAGGAACTAAAACAAACATAGGGGAAGACCCAATATTGAATATGCCTATTGGGGGATAAAAAATGGCTGAAAGTGTCAGAGTGGATTTATACAATATTAAAAGGAAAAAAACTAGAGTTATCGCAGAGAATAAGTTGGATTTTATTGAAAAACATGATTCTCAGTCTGCCAACAGATCTCCAAAAGACTAAAGAAATACACAAAATATGGATGAATTGGAAATTAGAAAACTGATCAAAATAGAGCAAAGTTGTTATTAAAATTAGTATGATATAAAGAATATGGAAGAATAGGTGGAAATAGAAAAATATGGTATTTAAGAGTCTGACTATTAAAGTGAGAATCATCATCTCTATTTTACTATATATGATCAATATAGAGATTATGATAGAAAATAGGTTTAATGGTTCATAATCTTTATAGTTATTTTGTTAATAATAAAAAATCTATTTTATTTTCTATTGAAAAGCATAAATATAGAATTACAGATACTCTTTATATGCTAATCAGTTATTTGTTTGTTATTGACTATTGCAATATATCATATTAATAGAGGTATCATTTTGAAATGGCTAATTGTGTTATATTTTTTAATATTTTCAATTATTGATATCTTGATAATAGATGTACATAGCAGCGATATGGAATTAATATTTTAGGTAAGTCAAATTACATCAGTGTATTTAAATTTATTCTATTTGTAAATTTATAATTAGTAAGACAGGATTAAATTATCCACCTTATATATCTTATTAATCTTGATAAACTTAATATATAATGAAAATATTCTGGAAATCATATTTTATTCAGTAAGTGTATTCCTCTCAAGTATTATGATCTAACACAAAGAATTAAAGACATTAGTTGAAAATTATCAATGTTTCTCTTAATTTGAATCTAAGAATGCTAAGTAAACCTAAATTTTATAATACCTATTGCCTTAGCACATAATAGGAAGATTTTTTTCAACGGATGCAAATACTTCTGATAATTTTATTGATGTCTTTGAAAATTGTACAATCCTCTTTGCTGATATTGCAGGTTTTACAAAATATTCAGGTTCAGTAGAACCAGAATAAGTAGTTAATATGTTAAGAATCTTGTTTTAATAATTCGATGAAGAATGCCAAAGATTTCAAGTATATAAACTATACACAATTGGTGACTGTTATGTTTGCATGGGCATAATTGATGCTAACAATAGAGATCCAGTTGGAGAGGTAAATTTATATGGGTATCTTATGATAGGCAATAAATGTGGTATTGTTTGGGTTGAAGATGATTTAGATAATACAGCAGATTAATAAGGATCCTCAATATCAACATTTAAATATGAGAATTGGAGCTCATACTGGCAGAGTGATTGGTGGAGTTGTAGGAACTGATGTGGTTAGGTATGACATTTATGGAGAGGATGTTACAATAGCCAATAAGATGGAGTCGAAGGGTCAGGAAGGGAAAATCATGGTAAGTCAGGCTACCAAAGATATAATTGAGAGCGATGATGAATGCGTTGGGATCTTTGACTTTGAATTCGCTTAAGATGTGTTCTTGCCTTAGAATAATACAACAATATCAGCCTATTTTGTGCATTTTGATTAAAATAGTGATGAACAATGATTTATAACCGAATTTGACTTATTATATATGAGATTATATATCATAATTGATTTAATGTAGATCATAAAAATAGTAAATTCAGAAATCAAAGATTTTGTTATCACACAATAAAGAAGTTATTGTGTGATTAATATTTAAAAATAAAAATATCATTTTTAAAATAATGGGAAGAACAGGAATTGCAGTTGGTTTAAATAGAGGATTCATTACATCTTCATTAACAAAGAAATAATTAAGAAGAAGACCTTCTTAAAGAAAGGGAACTTTGGGTAAGAGAGTCTTACAAGTGAGAAAGATCATCTAAGAAGTAGCAGGTCTGAGCCCATATGAAAAGAGAATTATTGAATTGTTCAAAACAAATCAACCAAAAGATTTAAAGAAGGCAGGAAAATTAGCAGCTAAGAGATTGGGTACAAATAGAAGAGGAAAAAGAAAGATTGAACTTATCTAAAACCTCTATAGAGCCATGAGAAAGTAACAATAAAAACATTGAAATATTACATACATTATTCCAAATATAGTCAATCTGATTTCTTTCGCTTTCTTAAGCATAATAGCCATCCATAATTTAATTAATTTATACATAATTATTTTTATATACTTTCTAAAGAGAAGTTGTAAAATGATAATATTCAATTATGTGAATCATGGATGGCAATATTTTTTTTTACTGCATATTTTTTATAAATTTCTATTAAATCTTCATATGCGGGAGCATTAAACATCTCAGGTTGCATCATACTTAAAGTGAAATCAAGTACTTTTTTCTTTTTATTTTTTTCTTGAATATAATTTTGAGCATATTATTAACATTTTTATTTCTTTTCTTTAATGAAATCATCCATTATCTATAATAATAAAATACTATCAAAAAATAAATGATAATTTTATACTTATCAATATGATATTGTCTCTTTTTTATTTGACTATGTTTATTAATCAATTCAAGAATAATAGCTTAGCCATTCTTATTCAACAATCTCCATAATCTATCTCTATATGCCTTGTGTTTCTATTTCAAGTTTTTAAACACTCTCTTAACATAGTTCACTTTTTCAACAAAATAATGATGTTTTTACAAACATTATATGTATAAGTGAGTGGTATGTAGAAATTATAGGATAAGTTTAATAGCTCTTACTTTTGAGAATCCCCTTAGTTGTTAAGTAAAGATTTTGACTGATAAACACATTTTGAATTTGCTTCTATCTTCAACTGTTGCACCCATCCCTTTTATTTTTATCATAGTTATAGTCTTGTATTGCCAAACTATCAAACGTCCCTTTGCTAAATATTTATTATGTAATTTCATTTTCTATGATAATGTAATAAACAATTACATCTAACATTTCTTTCATTTAAGCAGCATACTAAGCAATCTTAATTAATTCAAACCAAATAATTTGATTGCGTATTTTCAATTTTTATTAAATTTCTATCTGTTTTTGAATGTTTCTTATTTCTTTTAAAGATTCATTTGCTTTTAATTTGCTGATTATGTCCATCTTTTTATCTTCATAAATCACTCTTTTTCTTTCTCCTGCCTGCAAGATTCTTTATTTTAGTAATCTTTAACTTATCTTAATCTTTTATTCAATTTCTTTTAATTAAAATATAATGTTACAATCTTTTTAATATTGTTTCGTATTTAAATTGTTAGCTATTTTATCCATCTGAATTTAATCTAATCTTGGAGTATTCAAAGAATATAATTCTATTAAACATTATAATAATTTTTAATACTTGATTTATATTTATCCGAATCTAATTCTTCCTTTATTGTCTTTACTTTTTTCTTAAAATAATGACCAAAAATAAAGTTTATTGCTATAAGACAATCCTCTTCTGAATACATTGAAATATATAAATTCTTCATATGAAAAGTATCCCTCTATTGTTAATCTGCAAATTTAAAATATTTAGACTATATTGCTTATTCACAATTAAAACTAGTGGGAAATTGAGCCACCGTAGATATATACATCTTAAAGGTTTATAATTTCGAATTTTCACTTCTGACATAAGCTTATAATGGACTTTCCCTATCATAAATTCTCACATAAAAATAATTGAACCTGAATCTTGTTATTTAAATTATGCTTGTTTGATTAGATTTCAACTCTTATAAAGTTAAAGAACCATCATGTTTTATATCGATTTGCTTTTTTAATTCTGCAACACTCCCAATTGGTGATAATTAGGGAGTGAATTCAACAATATGTTCTATAGGATCTGATTATTATATTAAATCATAGTTTCTTGAGAAATTTTCCATCATTCTGTGTATTTAACTCCTTGAACTTAATATTTTTTTCTCTAATCCGTTACATTCTGATGTTTTTCTATTTGTGGGAGATTGCAAACTGAGAAAAGAATTAACATTAGAACTGTTTTATTAAAATTCCACATTGCTATGATGTCTGTTATGACTTGTTGCAGAATCATAAAATAATTACATGCCAGATTATTCTTTAAAATTCATATTATTCAATTTTTATATTAAATTATTATTGAAACATATAATCAAGAGAGTATCCTACTTTGTATTTAACTTTGAGTTCCTCGAATGCTAAATTAGGCTGATCTCTCTGTTTTATTTATTTATTCGTTGTAAGATAGATTCCTTGCCCTTGATATGCAGCTAATTAGCTAAATGTTATCAATAAGCCTATGAGCAGAGAAATTTTATTCCTTAGTTTTTGATTGAGCTATTTATAATTCAGGCCTTATTAAGGGTAAATGTAATTGGTGTAAAAGCAAGTCTTAATTCTTCCTTTTTTATTTTAATTGTTCCTATTTAAATAAAATTGTTGGTTTAGCATCAATTGATCTTAACTTGAATTTTTACTAAGAGTTCTTACTTAATATTTTAGATTTTTCTGATTTTAAAGGTTCAGTTATAGGAGGTAATAAAAAGAAGTTATAGGCTCCTGTCTCTATGGTTTAAACTCCTTAATTTCTCATTAATTAAATTAAAACAATACAATACACCAAAATAATCATAACCAATTTGCTCCAATCTCGCATATTCAAATTAAACCATAACTTATTTAATCATTTTCCTTAAATAAAAGTCTATTATTATAATATATAAGTTATCTTAATGAGTGCAAAGGTGGTTGAAAATTATTCCCTCTTGGAAGTAATTGGTTCTGGTTAATATGGTAAAGTCTATAAGGCTGTCAATATCAAGAATAACAGTCTCGTGGCAGTGAAAGTTGTCAAAATAGAAAAATTTAAAGAAGTTCCTAAACTAGAAGAATTTACAATGAATGAAATTCAAACCCTAGCAAGAATTAATAATCCTCATGTAGTCAAATTCATTGAAATGTTAAAGAGTTCTCGCAATTATTATTTTGTCTACGAATATTGTAATGGCTCAACTCTTGAAGCAATTATATAAGAATAAGGGTAAAAATTCAGTATAAAAACCTTAGAGTGTAAACAGAAAAAGAAGCCCTATATTACTTTAGACAATTGGTCCAAGCCTTCTAATCATTGGTCTCTGAAAATATAATGCATAGGGATTTGAAGCCAAGTAATATTATGTTGCATAATGGTTCAATAAAATTGGGTGATTTTGGATTTTGCAAAGCATTGAATACTGCTTAGGATTTATCAACAACAATGGTCGGATCACCAATCTATATGGCACCAGAAATTTTGAAAGGATAAGAGTATACAATTAAAGCAGATATTTGGTCTTTGGGTTGTGTATTATATGAATTGCTTTATGGAATCTGTCCATTTGAAGAAAAAACGATGGCATAATTAATGCTAGCAGTTGAAGAAAGAGAAATATCATTTTTGGACAATGTTAATGTTGTATCTCAAACGACTAAAGATTTACTATTGAAAATGTTAACAAAAGATTATAATAAAAGGATCAATTGGAAAGACTTATTTGAAAGGGAACTTACTTATGCTGAAAGTAATGCTTTACTTAATTATTTAGGAATTAAAAATACAGAATAACAACCAAATTAAATTTAATAAGAGTTGACTTTAAATTCATAGAGAAATAAGGAATCTAAAGCCTTTAAATATTTATTAATGGAAAGAAATAAGATATTTTATCTATACAAAGTTGTAGAAGAAGTATTGGAATTGAGTAAAGATGAAGTATTTTTAATTATTAGTAATTTAGAGAGATGAATAGAGAGAATCACAAAGTGTATATTGTGGATATTTACTTATGAAATATATTTGTTATTTGATAGAAATGATTAGGATGAATTTAGTAGAAAAATTCAATGTCTCAGCCTTCCCCCATTTAGCTAAAAAACACGAGTTATAAAACGATATTACTAAAACATTTGAATATAAAAGCTTTTGTACTTTAATTCAAAAAGAAGTTGAAACAGCCAGAAAAATGTTTAAACATTATTAAGAAGAAGCTGATAAGTTTTTCAAATCCTAAACTAATGGATAACATATTTATTAAGGAACTGAATTTGCCCATTTTGAAAATGAATTACAGAGAGAGTTAAGTACATCTGAAATTTCAATAACCTTTATGAAAAAGCTAGTGTTAAAATATTGTGAGGATATGAAAAGTCAATTTTTACAGTAATTCTTAGACAAAAATCCATAAAGTGGAAGCAAGTAACATTTATATTTATATTAGATAATTATTACATATAGAAAAAACATTGGAATCATTGATTTTAGATGAATTTTTTGAAAATTGTATGGACATTTAATAAATCGATTTAGAACAATAGAATTATTTTGCTATTCTAAATAAATATACGAAAGCTGATTTATTGTAAGTTATTACAAACAAGATGGATTATATTAGACATAAATTATATAAATGATTATATTAAAATGTTAGATAAAAAACATTAATTGTTTTATTTTTTAATATAAAATTACAATTTATTTCAATGAAGTACTTATGGTCTAATTCAATATTAACTCCAATTTAAAAATTCCAAATTACATACTATATATCTGAATACAAGATATAGAATTAAGTATGTAACTAGAAATTATGAGTTGAAAATTTCGAAAATGTTCTAAAAGTAAAAAATTGCCAACTTCTTGTTAGGTATTAGAGTGTTTTTTAAGCATTTTTCAAAGTTGAAGCATAGAAACTTAATTATAATAATAGATTGAGATAAAAAAAAATAGATAATCAAAATATGACTTTCAGAGAATGTGACAGTCAATTGCTTTATTAGATTATCTTCTATTAAAAAATTTATTTCTTTCCAACCCAAAATCATCTTTAGGAGTTTGATTATTTTGAGATCTGTATTCTTCTTGTTTTTTTCTAGGATCAGTACAAAATTTTAATTCAATTTTCCTTAAGTAGTTTATAATAGACTGAATTTTAGGATTAGGTCGATGATAAATTTCTAATTCTATAGAGTCAAGACTTGAATTCAATTCTTCTGTCATTCAATTATTTTTAAGATTATTAATCATTTATCAATCGAAATCATTTCATAACAAATACTCATCTTAATCATATAGAAATCTAAATGATGTTAATTGTCTAATATTTATACAAATTAGAAAATATTGTTATTAATTACATAAAAATAAGGTATCAGCCCAATATTAATTAAATATCATTTATTTTTTCTTCCTATAGATTTTGCCATTCTTCTTAATTTTCTTAATTTTGAATTTACCTTACTGATTCTTTATTATCTTTGTTAGATCTTTTAAAATGTGTTTTTTGTTGTTTGTTTCTCTTAATCATATTCTAAAAATTGGCCAATCAAATCACTCTAATTTTTCTTTTTCTCTTTGATATCATAATTATCTATAAATTACCATAATTATTACCCATTCCATCAACATAAGTTCCCACTCAAAAATACTTAGGCATGGTTTTAAAGTCACTTGATTTAATTGGTTATTTTGGATCTAAGTATTTCTTCAACTTCATTATTAAAAATTCTTATTTCGTAGTTTCATCT